GAGCCTTCCATGTTTGGAGTTTCAATAAGGGATAACTGAGCAGATATGTTAAAAGGTTTTGATGTCAATTAGCAGGCAGTGGGATAAGCGTTGAATAGGTCCGATCGATCACTTGAAAATTCTTGCGAATCTACTTACGGTATTCTGGGTATTATTATTAGTTGAATAGGCGATTGGAAATGGGATGAGGATCATACATAGAAGTATAATAATAACCCGCGCATTTCCGTCTGGCGAAGAAATGGGCTGCAATGCACGTGACTGGATTTCTTTGAAGGCAAACTAATAAGCTAAGCGTGAGCTGGCAAACCCGAATAGGAGTCAAGTGTCGTTGCTCCTGTTCATCTTAACGCACTTTAAACGATGGGGGCTATTCATTCGAAATTTGGGATTAATGGATTAAATACCAAAGATTGATATCTTTATTGACAGTATGTGATTAAGTTTGAAGTGCCAATTAAAGATACATGAATAAGAAATAGAAGAAGAATGATCTACTGGAACAGTATGTAAAAGAAAATGACGAAAAGAACAAGATGAACACCACCACCCAGAAATTGTCCCATATTGATAATCCATTCGACGTGTTGTTGGACTATCAATAATAATAATATCTATAAATTTCGAACTGTTGATACTAAATAAACAACCAACTACAATAACAACTCGGCCGGCCGGGAAACTTCCCGCCACGCTTTTATAAAGCCATATTTTTCTTGGCAGGTATATGGTTAACCTGGCCAGAGTCCTTTCTCTTCTTCTCAGTGAGTAAGGTTTAACTGAGTAAAGAGACCGCGGCATCGATTTCTTCTTTTCCTCGGTTGACGAGGTAAAAGGTTTCGACCTTTTCTTCTTTTCCTCGACCGCGAGGTAAAAGGCTTCAAATTTTCTTCTTTTCCGCGACCGCGAGGTAAAAGGCCTCATCCTTTTCTTCACCACCAGCTGCTGAGTGGGATATTGCCGTATGTTTGGGCCTTGGGTAAGTTTATGGGGAGGGTGGGCAAAGAGAGGACAGTAATAATTTATTCAACTTCTCTAATACCCTATAATACCCTCCGAGAGTGTAGTTTATTGAAAGAGTAGGCGCATGCATGATACTTGGAGTATATCTTGCCAGTGCGCATTTAATAAAAGGACGGTCTAAAAATGTCTTTAGGTGGAGGACATATTTTGTCCTTGTTGTTATATGGCCGAGGAGGCATATTTTGTCTTTTGTTAAGAAGAATAGCGTTGAAGCAAAAGGTGGGCACATTCTTATCAATTGCTGCGTCCTTATCATCACGAGCTAACAATGCCGCCGATAATTAAGTCAAAGAATGGCTGTACGACCATGAAATAATTGCCGATAAGACTTGTGAATGTGGTATTGGATCTTGTCTCAACATCTGGACAGGGACTAACCGATCACTTCTATTAAAGGAGATAAGACACGATGATGTAAATACGATACTGCGCTAACGTATGTCCCTTTGTTGTTAGCTCTTGCGTCTTCTAAACCCGTTCCACAGTAACACACGGACCAACCAAATTATCTGCGTTTACGTTCTGGGTAGAATGCTACTAGCTACTACAATGTCTTTCCGTTCGATAGTCCTAATACATGGATGAAAGAATTCCCACCGTAAGCATACTTCTCTTCCATGAACATCTACTTAACCTTTTCCTAGGCTACGAACTTAAACACAACGTGTTGACCATGTGCTCTTGTACACCGCTTCTCTTCCATATACTTTCTTTATAGAATTCCTTATTCCAACGTCCATATCATTCATCCTTGTTACGAGGAACTTAAACACCAGCGTGTTGATCTGTGAAAGGAAGAGTCAATCGTCCTACTCAACTCCAACTGTGAATGGTGCATTCGCTTATCCTGCTGTGAATTGAATGTGAGAACACTTACGGACTTCTTTGGACGAGAAATGGCTTTCACCACCACGTTGATTGTAACTGTTAAGACACTCACGCAACCTTGCATGCCACATGTCGAATACTCCATCTTTTTATGCATCGGATTGCTCTTCATCAAGTACGTGTCAATCTACTTCTACATCAAGCACATCGTGTAGGTTACTCCACACTTTGTCTATGACAATCGGACTAGAGCGATAACGAAAAAGAGCCGGATCAGGAATATGCTCATGCATAATGTACCAGTTTAGAAAAACGTTAGAGAGAAACCATATCGTTTAAAGCTATACGTTGTTGTCAATATTCTGTCATTGTGCAATCGAAATAGAAGATAGTGGATTATAATTTAATTTATTTCTAATAGGATCACTTCTACGTGACATGAATAACCTTGTAGGTCTGCGTGATAAATACTATCGATATGTCGGCATCACCGAACCGAACGAGTCATCGTCTATCATCTCGAAAGGTTTATCCGACTTGATGATGCCATACTTCTATCAACGCTCCTGTCAACAAACCATATAACGGCATATCAATTTAATCAACTCACACGACACCCCTTCCCCCATACCCACTACTTGAAGACGTTATGAAGATTGCTTGAGACATTATATAATCTTGGTAGCAGGGAACACTTTAATAACAACGAATGGGCAGGAATCACGCTAAGCACAATATACGTATTAATATACATAATATTATATATATACAAGTTATTCGATTAAGATAGTAGATGAGATTAATACCGCACCCACCCCTATGGAATAACGACTTAATTATTACTATAGAATAAAATCTTGACGAAGACCCCACATATTATTGTTCTTGTTGAAAGATCGCTTATGTTGCATTGCATGAATTGGGTGAAGGTGTGAATCTTATATACATGCTCATTGTTGAAGTCTATCTCTTTTGGTGTGAACTAAATTTATCCTAAAAGACACAGCCATACCATCTTTCGCGTCTTTGGGGTTACAAGACATAAAAGTTGGAAATAGTGTCTGCAATGTAAGAGATAAAAAATAATCAAAAGGAAGTGGATAACGTGATTCCTTTGCCTCAAATGGATTGCTGCCCGATCAAATATTCATAACGAAATTGATGCCCGACGGTAAGTAACAATAGCGGGTAACTTATTTGTAGTATCAATGACTGGTTCGTATAATCTGGGAGACAATTCAAAGACATTTTATATTATCCCACATTCTCGTCGTTCCATCAGTTGGCAAAATTTCTATTTATCAGGTTACTGATAGCGGTGATATGAGAGAAGAGATATTGGACAATCAGAATACGTATCTATCAATAACAATAACACTGTGTTCATCCAAGTTTTGGACAGCACGTTCAATCAGCCAATATGCCAATTACTACGTCATTGTCGACAGTAACTCTGTGAAAAGTAAACAATTCGGTGAAGTGCTTGCAAAATTCAACACAAGTTAGTTGGTAATGCATTGTGGATGTAATAATATTAATGATAATAAAAAGATTCAGAGGATGTTTATGCTGGTGAGTTACGAGGAATACCAATTTCACGTGGCGGATAAGCTCTATAATTGCTTATTAACATATATGCTTTATTAGACACTGTAAACGGATTATTGCGCTTGACCGCCAATGGAACATCTTATGATGATAATCTTCCTTCGGGGGACAGGATAGCGTTTTGTGATTCCATAAAACGTCAACTTAGTCAAGTTACCTGGTAATTTCTGCTTTGTCGAATCTTCTGTTAGTCAACCGCATTTGCATTCTAATCAAAGCTATTATTTTAGATATTGAAAGCAAGGCTAATAACGATAACTCAGGAAAATCAAACATGTCTAATCTCACTACTTTACCTAAAAACGAGTGAATGAATCTTCCTTTTCGATTAACATTCCTTGACTGTAACGAGGATCAGAAGCGATGGATGGTGAGATGAAATTGAAGTTTTCACACAATTTTATAATGCTAATTGTGTCTCGATTGTTGAGGTATGAGTTAGCTGATTTAGCTTTACGAATTGGGGGCGAATGTTTTTGGGGTTGATTATGATAAAGATGTTTACCTATTGTGGCTATCGCAAATAAAATTAAGTGTCTTTTAACTGTTATCCACATAGATGACTATAAATTATATTCACTTAAATTTTTGCTTTGCTAAGCAGGATATACATACATTCTCCCGCCAGACTTATGATCTCGAATGGCCAGTAAGATGATAAATATTGGAAGGTCAGTCCACACGGTAGTCATCCGATATGCAAGCTCATGCATTGCTGTCGTCAGTTCACGTTTGGTTTCGACATCACGACGATAATCGAGAGCCTATTATATATCGGAATTTTTGACAGAATTATTAAGCGGTGGATGATGCTATAATTTGTAATATTAATTATACCATCTGAATTGACATTTTTTTTTTCTGCAATTTCTCACCCAAATAATTACTCTCGATTCGTCCGTTATTTGGGAGACAGAATGATAGGTTAGTCTAATCATGCGACATGCGAGAAAACAACATTCCGATTGCGGATAAGAATGCCGACGCGCTAATTTATCATAATGATATGCAGGGTCGACTGCCAAATATAGGATAATTTATAATTTATAATTCGTGTGGTATCGCTGATAAACTGTTCAAGACACCCATGGGTAGTTAAGTCTCTTCCATTTCTACTAGGCGTACTGTATGCCTTTTTCGGTTATCTTAGTTCGATTCAACGTCTCGTTTTTAAAACTCTCAAGCTCGAAATTACTATTGTAAATGCAAGATTTATATTATTAATTGATATTTATTTTTATGTCTGTGTATTACCGTTACATGTTCGACTTTTCGCTCTAATACTAAAACTATAATATTTATAACTTGAATATCTAATGTATTGTCTGTTTTTACCCACTTTATCTAAATTATATTTGGCGGACGGTATAAATTCAGCAACGTTATTGACATACACAGAATTCGCGCTCTTAACAAGATAATACTTGTTACGTGCCGTATTGCACGTAATTCCGATCGTTATCCAGACATCTCCTCGACAGAGCCGATTCCAGATATATGTAGAGCTTTGCCTTCGGATCATTGGGCATAATGACTCTCAGATGGAGTTACAGAATTACTTGCAGCTAAAGACGGGGCGCATCCATTCATTATTTGATATGGGAATGCGCATTGCCGTTGCCAGGTTTGACGACGTTAGGTGCGGAGGGTTTCGACAACAGCCCGATGTCGTCACAGATCCTGTTGGTATTGCCAGGTTTGACGACGTTAGGTGCGGAGGGTTTCGACGTCAAATTGGTTACTGACGACAGCCTGATGTCGTCACAGATCCTGTTGACCATTGCTGTTGCCAGGTTTGACGACGTTAGGTGCGGAGGGTTTCGACGTCAAACCGGTTACTGACAACAGCGCGATGTCGTCACAGATCCTGTTGATAAGGCGTCATTGAATGCCATTGCTGTTGCTAGGTTTGACGACGTTAGGTGCGGAGGGTTTCGACGTCAAACCGGTTACTGACAACAGCCCGATGTCGTCACAGATCCTGTCGTCACAGATCCTGTCGTTAACTGATGTCGTCCAGATCCTGTCGTTAACTGACAACAGCCCCGATGTCGTCACAGATCCTGTTGATAGGCCTGTCGTCTTTAGATGCTGTGTTCAATGCTGTTGAGCTTGTGTTTTGATGCTGCTGTATCTGCCTTGTGTTTCGTGTGGTATATGCGTTTGGGAAGGATATTGCGTAGAAAGTTAAATAATACGTGGGATGTATAATATATGTCATGCGGTTTTATTTGGTTAACGAATGTTCGTATAGCTTATGTCTGCTTTGAGTGTTTACTCATGCCATTATATATGCCCATCCCTACACGTGACCTACAATTCAAATTCCCTTTATTTGTCTGCTTTTGTAATGACTAAACGCGACACTCAACCTGAAAATAGCAATCATTAATCATATAGGGAATGACAATTCCCAAATCGTGTACAACGACAAGTACGCAACATCAGGGCAGCCTTCAAAAATAGACATAGTAATAGCAATACAGGTTATCTGCTTACATACCGACTTCCTCATCTGTACTAGACCCATGCTTGGCGTATTATTTTCAATGTGTAACATACGTAGTACCCATGGAATAATAGAATTAAAAATTTTTTTCGCGTGGATTATTTGAGGAATAACCTTTTTAATCACCACTCGTTCGCAAAGCGACATTAACCATCACATTAATACTAATACTAATACTAATACTAATACTAATACTAATACTAACGCTAACTAAGTCCCGAGGTCGGGAACCGTGCATTTAGGGAGTGTGTATTTAGGGAGTGCATCTATTTTCTCATGTTACATATTTGTGTATTACCGGACTTTATGTAATACGAATCAGGAGATTGATTGAAATCACGATAAAATTTCGCTCAAGGTTGTGGAACCTCTTTTCTGGACAATTCGTTGACTATAGAAATTCCGAGAATTCTTTCATCGTTTTCTTCGTCATTCCAGTCGCAATTTAATAATTCCTCATGCTGGGAAAAAAACGCCTCTCATTCTTCATTACTTATTCCCTCTTTCCTACTTGTGCAAGGTGTATCTAAGTGGCGTAAAGCAATATCCTACGGCTGTTCAGTTCGTGAAGACTCCTTCAGTTCGATGCATGGAAAGAAGTCCTCGGGGATCATACGTGTCCTGGTGACAATAGCTTGACAGCTTCTTTCCAGAATATTGGGGATCGGATAAATATCCTACGACTGTTGGAACCTTTTCAATTCGTGAAGACTCCTTCAGTTCGATGTATGCAAAGAAAGTCCTCGGAGCCATCATATGTGTCCTGATGACAACAACAGCTTCTTTCCAAATACTTAGCGCAAACTTTTTCTGACCCCCATTGATTATAGGAAGACCAAATTATGGTGAGTTTGCTTGGTCTAAAACTCTAAGTTGTGCCCCTTGGCAATATCATTTCAGATGCTAACAGCGCATATCTTTTAGAACCAGAGGATTTTCTTGGATTCACGAGCGCTTAATGGGCATAAACGCGAATATCTACAATGCACACTATTCCGACCATACCAACGTTCCGAGGTTGAATAGCCAACTGACATGCGGAACCAAAGAAGACCACAGTGAAGTTTAGAAGGCAGTTTTGTATTTCTAGATGGATTGGAAACAATAGAAGATCTAGGAAAAGTTGTATTGGCAAATAGAGGATTTGACAAGCGAGGATTAGGACTAGAGAGGATGGGATTAGAAGCAACGGGTACAACTTCTGTGGGAGGAAAGAATAAGAGCTTCGGTAAGTTAAGATGTGTGGGAATTCGGCAGAGCGCAAGAGGAACTTGGAAAGGATTTTCGAGTATGCATGTTATAGCTGATCATGTTTATCTTAATATCCGTTATTCTGTCTAGGCTGTCCGCATTCAACAATAATTCAATGAAGTAACAGTCTTTACATTGAGACTGAAGATAATCGGAATTGGAGTGTTAGGTGATGGGGGAATACCCCACATTAAGACAAAGAAGAAACTAAATCCGCCGCTCTCATTGTTTCTGACGATCAAAGATTTACCGTCCGCAATCCGTTCCACAAAACACAAACCGTTAAATCGGTTTTTAATCTACCGCAGAAATTTAAATTATGCAGCCACTAAACAAATACCAAATATGCTCAGCAAAATGGATGTCTGAAGACAAAGATGTCAGGTCATTCTTCTCTTGCTTGCACAAATAATGGAGCGATACACGAGAGCACTTTCGACAGCCGAACAGAGTGGTAAGCCCTTACGCTGGCGAAGAGTTCATGTACCAGTTCATTAATGAGAATGCGTTACCGTATATTATCGTGAATAAGCACACCCACCCCCATGATTACCATGATTACCCGCACAATGTACCCCTCATTAACAGTTTATTACATAATGCAGTGATTATAAAATCATTCTATAATACAATTCTGGTTACTGTGATTACTATAAACTAACCCCCTAAGTTCGTTATTTACGTGACGGTTTTGCCGATCATTTTCATATGATCGATGGGGTGTGCTTATTCACGATAATATACGGTATTCGAATTTCAACTTCAGCAATACGGAAATTAGTCGTCTTCTTACTTAATTTGTATATTATTTACGATTACTTATATATGTGCTCTCTTTTTAAGTATATAATTCTCTTAAGTGCGTAATACCACAGCATAATTGTGACAAGCTTTTATAATATTTGTGACGGTATATAAGAGCACGCATTGTACACATCATGAAATTGTAGTACGAAGTATAAATTTATTAACTTTCCTAGCATTAAATAAAGTCTTCTACATAGGCTATTATGACAAATAGGACGTTATTTATCGCGATTATCTAATACGATTGTCGAAGTGCTTGTCACTAACTATAACATGTAGCGTATATATTCTTCTCTTTTTTTGTTAAATAAAAGACTTTGAGCAATATAGCACGGATTTGGCTGTAAATTTGCTGGATAAAATATGGCCCAAGCATGTTAGTCATAATACAATATCAACATTAGCTTTGTTGCATACTTTCATAAACCGATATTTAACGATCTGTAGTACCAGCCCATATTTACTTAGGGGTTAATTCTCAATTTTTTAAGTCGTAATTTTAATTGTATACATGGATTCTGCTTCGTGCTTGACAAACATTGTCACAGATGGTTTAATAATTCACAGTAAGAGATACATTGAAGAGGCTTTATAAAGCCATTTCAATTTGTTACCATTTCTTCAAGGATTGGAGGAAGATTATGGACAATGCCTCAATCCACAAAAGCAAGCCCACTATGAAATTTTTTGCAAATTCAGAAATGAAATGGCCTGGATCTCAATTCTATTGAGCACTTGTAGGACGAACTTGAACGTCGTATTAGGAAACAAATCCCAGCAAATTTATACCAAAATCTCATCCTTAGTATGAACAATAGAGTAAAGGCAAGTTTAAAGGCTAAAGGTTATGCCTAGTTATTAGTAAATGGCTTTTGTTTAAAAACGCAAATAAATGCGTTTCAAACATTCAAACAAATATGCAACTTGAAATTAAGTTGTTTTTTGAAAATTTTTATTAAATTTGCTATAATTTTATAATAATTTTGGTTTCTCAACAACAAAGCAAGATATTTGGCTAACTTTGCTGCATTAGATAGCGCTTTCGAATGAGTGTAACTTTGTGCAAAATTATTATTATTATTATTATTATTATTATTATTATTATTATTATTATGTGAATTGATTTTTTAAACTTTTAGACTGTATAACTTAATTTTAGCTTTCAAATGTTAGTTACATTTACATTTTATCATATTACTAGCAACACATTGCAATCTTTCGTAAATATGTTGTACACTAGATGCGCCAAGTTTAGTATTAATTTCATGGTAAGTGCATTGCTCTTTATGTCAATATTTGCATTTAATTGTAAAATTTAGGATGGTCGGTGATTGCTGAATAGTACTCTAAATTTAAAATTCATTTTCTCAACAAAGAAGCAAGATATTCGGACAATATTTACAAATATTATAGCGCTCCTTTTGCGCTTTTTGATGAATATAAATTTGTGTAAATTTACATGTGGATTCATTTTTAACAATTTTTTTAAACATTCGAGTCGCATACCCTAATTTTAACGTCTTTCGTTGAATAAACGTCGGCTCTAAGTAAATTCGTAAATTTACTATCTAACATATTGTAATTTTGTGTATATGTTACCTATAAGGTGTGCTAAATTCAGTATTAATTCCACGGTAATTTCATTGCTCGTTATGCCAATATTCTCATTTAATTGCAAATTTAGGAGCGGGAGTGTACGTCTGATAAGATTTTGGGAAGGGAGAAATAATCCGTTAAATAAATTATTTAGCTTACAATAATACATTTTATGCAACTATTATCAAATATTACAAGCTATAATTCAAATACACGTTGCCATTATTAATTTAATATAGCCGTTGTCCGCGAAATTTATACGATATCAGGAAGTGCATACCAATTTACTGCTAGTACAGAAAACATTTTAAATTTTATGTAATTAAAAAATAATTAATAAAAAGTCTTTTCAATGTTAAAGCGGTTTGAGCATCAATGCCAGAGTTGGCCGGAAGCACTATTCAACCATTATGTACGTACTCTGGCTGTCGAGTTTGTCGAATTCCTTGGGTTCGAAACCTAATCCGACAAAGCTGATGTCTGGTGTCTGTTTGATGCAGACTTTTTCGTATCGTCCTTGGTTGATATTAGTGTTGCCAGCATAAATTCTGTATCTCGTTAACAGTATGGTCGTGCGTCCAGAGAGAGAAAACGTCATTGGATGACGTAGACTTTGCGTTGACGACAAGGTGTTGATGCTGCCCACTCATTCACCGTTATAAATTAAAATTCCGGAAAGCTTTTTTGGTAGTCTGTCTGCATTGACCCAAGCAAACGAGTCACCAACAATAAGCCACAAACGAGTGGCACACAAAAAGTGAAGTAGTCGACGTAAAGCCTACGTACAGTGGCCTATCAAAAGTCACGGGGCACCCCCAAAATTTACTAGTAAAACATATAGAATGTCTTTCTTTTCAAAAATCTCTCCAGTACATGTGTACTATACGAAGAATAATTTTTTTTTTGCATGGTTTGGAAGCTAATTGATCGTGCTTTCCCAAAAAATTAACAAAAAAAATTTTATATATTATCGTTATAAAGGAGTTTTCTTGGTTGTAACTCTTCGTCTAATGACATTAATTCATTCGTAATAACCAAGACTCACCCCAATTCCCCATAACTAAATACTCATGACTTCACAACAAAAGAAAAAACGCCTTTCATTCTACGCTCTCCCGTATTATATTATCACCAGCGACAAATTAGTCCATTCTTTCTTTTGACTACAACTGATCCCGACGGTTTATTTGACCGTGCAAATGTTAGCAAATTCGACGCACTTGAACACGTATCGTGATTTAACAACCAGATTGACAAAAGCTTCGAAAGCTTTTAGTGAGGCGCTAAGGAGTATGGACACTGTAAAGGCATGGAAGAGCGATATGGGCGTTTGATGGAATTGCAGAGCAGGAAGCATAGTATAGGAAGGACCATGATAAAATCTAACGGATATCAACATTCCCAATCATGTGTCTTCAGTCGACGTCGCTGTTCGTAAGTTGTGGTCTGGTTCAAGATGGCAGCATCGAACTAAACAGGTGGCAATCTATTAGTATAAAGTTGTACAAAAGGACTTTGAAAGGTCAAATGTATGATTCAACATTCATTTATGGATCTGTGCAATTGTAACTTAAATTACCATTGAAATTCTTAAAAGAAAGATGAGCGAGAGCTCATGAAGACAACTGGCCTCGACAAACTAATAAAAAGACTGGCAAGGACTATGAAAAACAAACAAAGAGGGATAACAAGGCTGCTGTTGAATCCCATGAAGTAAGTGGACTGTATTTTCTTCTCACCAAAATGATGTTAATTTTGCTCATCCTATGGCATTCTTTATTTAGAAGTGTAATATCTACGCTGACGTCACTAGTAGTTCTGCTGCTTATCCAAGTGAACCTGAATATCGAAGCAAACACTTAAATACAAAGCAGTTTCATTCATCTCTAAAGAGGACTACTACGACTTCGAGCGGCAAGCATACACAATATACTTACATACCGTCAGAACCCCCCACAAACGACAACGTCGAAGCAACAGCAGCAGCAGAAACAACAAAAGAAGAGATCATCAGGACTAAAATGTTTGCTAAAGAATTTACAAGAAGTTTATTGTGATGGTAAATTAGCTGACTTATTAAAAGATTATAATGTAATGGTAATTGAAGTTGATCTAATTGACTGAAATTGTGATTCATTACGGCGTGACAATTTACATTTAAAGAACAAAATAAAGGAGAAGTTGGTTGAATAAAACGTGGTCTCTCAGTATCGCGACTTATAATTTTAGTTTGCATCACGAATGTAATATCATCAAAGTCGTTATGATAGAAGACTTCCATTATAAATGAGTGGCTAGTAATTAATGTCGGCAGAATATTCCTTGAACGAATGTCACCATTGCTTATGGATACAAAGGATTTGGTTATAATTATTATGGGGTGTGTTTATGAACATTCAGGAGAATTTTGCTTGCAGATGAGCCTTTATTATTATGTCTGCGATAAATCGTCTCCTGCAGAATTTTATTATCTAAACGAATTGCATTAACTCACTCTTCTAACAATTCACTATATCCCTGGTCATGTGATCATAGGCATTAGAGCAGTGCCGGTAAGAGTTTAGTCTACGAAGCACAAAATCAGCATATAACAATGTCCCGTGCGTTTATTTGCATTGTGTAAAAGAAGATCTTGTCGTTGTTTGTGGAGGTTGAGATTGGTGCGAGTTAAAAATTAAAGTTTAGGTTTGCATCAAAGTAATAATGAGCAGTTCGACATATTAGATAATCTGGCACGCGCAATTGTAACAATGTAATAATGGGCAGTTCGACATATTAGATAATCTGGCACGCGCAATTGTAACAATGTAATAATGGGCAGTTTGACATATTAGATAATCTGGCACGAGCAATTGTAACAATGTAATAATGAGCAGTTCGACATATTTAGACAATCAGACACGCGCAATTGTAACAATGTAATAATGGGCAGTTCGACATATTAGATAATCTGGCACGCGCAATTTTAACAATGTAATAATGAGCTGTTTGACATATTTAGACAATCAGACACGCGCAAATTGTATCACTCAAACAATGCAGATAAATAAAAAGGGCGTTCTGTAGGGAAAATAATGTTTATTATTTCGGCAGTGAGGATTCTTGTGTAAAAGGTTTCCCGAAAAAGGACTGACATTCCATAAAGGATGGAAGAAGACTTGAACCATAAATATAAACCACGGGTTTTGTAAACAGAGCCACAAGACGTACGATTAATTACAAATCTCAGATGATACATTCGAAATCTAAGATTAACAATTGTTTAAGCCTACAATAATAATAATAATAATAATGCGGACCAAATCACTGTTGGAGTTTTGCACGCCTCGCGTTGAGCTTTAACAGGCATCGCGAGATATTTGTAAAATCTATTTAATCTCATCATTTTCCTTGTCGGCGTGATCTTTAAATTTCACACATTTAATGATGATGTATACTACCTTAACAATGGCTATCCTTGTCAAGCCAAAACTTTTTGTGAGGAGCTTGTCTTAGTTTTATACAGCGGGAAACTATGGTTTTATCGAAAAGCCAAATCACCCGCGGCAGCATTACGCACGTTCATCACACACAAAAAACCTTTTTCTCAGTCGAGAAGAAAAAGCCTTTTAACAAACGGCTTTTTTTAAACCAAATTTTTATTCTTTTTAAAAACAAATATACATTTCTTTTAAACATGGATGAATTCACCATTATTGAATTCGCCATTAAAATTTTGGAGCCGCACGGGCTCCGTTATTACAAGCTCCCCCTTAGCAACCACATTCCGTATCGGGCTCGAACAAACGAAAAGGTTTCGGCGCACCGCAACTGTCTGGCAACCCAAGAACTCCACACGATGACGTTCTCAAGAAGGAGGAAGATGCTGAAGAAGTATTGCAATACGGAGGCGGAAAACTATGGTGGAGATAAAGCGGGTTGTTGTAATGTTAGCACAATTGCATGTATACAATATATTCTTTGTTTATAAATAAAAATTAAAATTTCGAATTATATTCCTTAAATGTTGGAATTATTGAATCAACTCAAAGAATGTTGTTGTGACCCATTTGTTGTATTATAAAAATCACGAATATATGGTTAACCAAGTGTCTAGTTATAATAGTAACTTCAGAGAGCATGTTCGTTGACGTTGCATTGTAATATAACATCTCTATAATAATATTGTTACGGCAAGCTGATCTGACGAATCAGATAAGTAATTCACATGATAAAATCTTCCTCCGCTGTCAGCAAACTTAGCTCAGTAATACAAAAGTTAAATTAGTAACGGCGTGTCGAAAAATCCGCAACAGCACAAAATATTATAATTGGAATTAGCTAAAAGAGCGTTACGTTTTTTCCGCAACGCTCGAAGATATATAAGTAGTTCATATTCCATCACCAAATCTTCATGTTGTCAACGTTGAAATAAATAAAATATTACTGATCTTAATAATATTCTTCCGCAATCATTTATTATAAATATACATAATTTAATATTCTATCGTCGAAATAATTGATTATTCGACCGGACATTCCAATAAACGGTTCACCCAAGCTGTAACGGAACTCCAATAAACAGGCTCATTTAAGCTGTAACGGAATAGCATTGATTTGATCAAGCTAGTAAGGTCCGCTGATCAATTACGTGAATAACGGAACGAGAGTTCATAATTAATTATCGAGACGATTATTGTTTAATTAGTTTAGTAAAGACAAGTGACGGATACCGACTAGTCGACAAACAAATCGAAGATAGCCCTGTTTAAATTTTAAAATAGTATTATTCCCCTTCGATTCTTTAATAGAATAATTGTTGTTATTATTTTATTAGAGGTACCCTTATTTGTATTCACGAGTGTTTGAAACTCGGATAGGGAGTGAGAAGCGCGCATAATTAAAATAGGTCAATTGAGGCTTAAGTCAGTCTTAATTTCACAACTATGGTAGTAAGAGTGATAGTACGAGCTAAGCCTGGCATCGTCCGGTCGGCGAACACGCCTACATGAAAAGATAAATCGCTCTCCCAAAAAACCCCATTTAACTTCCACATAATCCTTCTGAAGAAGCTTTGATTATTTTTCGTGTCATACGTAGATGCAATTACAGCTGCCAATTACGATTTGTAGTTTTGTTTACAAATTTTTTAGGGTATTTGGTATGCTTTTTTAACAAGTATGCTTCTTGGTATTCCTACATCAATTGTTAAAAACGCCTTCTTTCGTATACTGTAGAACTTACCAATCACGCTTTATTGATGGTTTATTTAACTAAATAAGTAACCGTGCAGTATCAGTCACGCTTATGGTGAACCAAAGATCTAGAGGTTATCAAATATGTCGAATCAGACGGGAAGATTATTGATTATTTATTATTGAGTCCTAGCCTCAAGGAGAGGATCCGGATAATATTAAGGAAATTGTTACTTGAAGGGACGTAGTGACATGGTTATTAGATCTAACTTATCACAATTAATCAAATCTTACACTCTCACCTCTCATTATAAACTGAAATATCCAAAAGATAATTTGTACGTGTTACTGTATTCTTTTCATGGAAAATGACTGTTGTGCGCTGTAGGTTGCTGCTCATAGCACTTTCTGACAAAATGAATTCTAATACTCCGTCAAGAAAAATTGGTCATTGGGCTGAGCCAGTTAGATTTCAAACAAGGACGTGTTTATTCCCAACCGTCCGTTATTATTGATGAGAAAATCTTAATTTTACTGTAAAGACTATAATGTAATGGTGTAGTTTTGAAACCATAGGGAGAGAGTAAGATTAATAATTGTATTAATGTAAACACTAAAGACAATTTTTTGAATAAAAATACTGTATTCAGTCAACGTACATGCGCCTTTGACATACAGTGGGCTCCAAAAAGTCACGGAGTAACACAAAAATTTACGAATTATACCATGAAATCGTGCATATGTAAACGTAAAATTTTAGTAACATTACTGTATTTGATGCATTAATTAAACGTGTTTGCAGTATCGTTTTACACATATTTAGTATTGTTTATAGATACATTTTTACCTTTATTTACTAAAAAAATATCATCAAAGTCAGCAAAAGAGTTTCGCCGATTTTATCCTGGAATTTCAATTGACAAAAGCGCAAAATCCACATTGACAACAGGAAAAGGTTTATTAAGAGATTGTATTTAGAATATTTAAAATACATAATTACAAAGTTTTATAAATTTTAGTTAAAAAATGGCTGAAAAATGATAAAGTATAGAGACTATATATTTATAATGTTCTAATATTTAGTACTAAACGCTTTTTCATTCCAGAATATAAATTCGATTGAATAGATATCCTATTTTAGTCGGATAATCAGTAAAAAACCATCTAATCCAATTGATTTTTTTGTAAAATACGTTGATTTTCTATCCTTTTCTTCATTATTACCCATAAGTTTTCTATAGGGTTTAAGTCAGGTTGAGTAAGAAGGCCAATCAAGAACTTTTGGGCATTTTTCTTTAAGAAATTTCTTTGTTAATTTGGCGGTGTGCTTCGGGTCGTTATCTTGTTGGAAACCCATGATTTTCCCAGTAGATTTGAAGCATTTGCGAAAAGATTTTCCGTTAAAATTTTCCGATAAAGCTCCCCATTCATGTTTTCAGTAAAACAATGAAATCCGACAGCTTCCTGTGAACAAAAACCACCCCAAACATGAACCTTGAGCAGATGTTTGACAATTGCACGCCGTGGCTTTTCTTGGCCCACTTTATATCTTACTAAAGTGGTATTTCTAAATAATTGGACAAGTTGTCTCATCAGAAAAGATAACTTTTTTTCAATTTTTGTTAAGATGAGACTTTGCCCATTCAACGCGATAATCCTTTGCACTCGGTGTTAACATTGGTACTGAAACTGGTACACAAACGCGATAGTCGAGTTATAAAGGTTCTCACGGACTGTTCTTGGCGCAATATTAAGGTTTGGGTAGATTTGGTTAAGCAAATGAGCAATTTTTTTACTGCTATCACATTTTCTTGAACTTGCTAATTTTCCAAGATGTATGCGCTTTTCCGCAGTAAGTTTTTTTGGTCTACCTGGGCGGGATTTAGGTTTCAGGGAAGCTGCTACTGAAAGTTTTCTAATATATTTGTATAAAGTAGATATGGGAACATGTGTTATCCTATGAAGCTGAGATACATCATAAATTCCACTGTCCCACAAATTCTCTACAATTGATCGTTTTTGGGTCAAAGTAAGTTGCTTAGGCATTTTTAACAAAAAAATTTATGAAAGTAAACAAAGAGCGCGTTGTAGATTCAAATATTATTTTTATTTATACATTTGTTATCTGGTGTAACTTTCTATATATGACTTTGCCATTAATAAATAAAACAGGGAGCCCGTAAGTATTAGATAAAGTGATTGCATAAAATTCTCATTATTTTCCGTCACTACTGTAGCATTGATGTATTGGTACAAAGGTTATAGCGGGGTTTATTATAATTTATCGGTATAGCGGGGAAAATTTTCTATCTAAATTTTGGGAGCGGCGTTTTCCATCGTTATCGGTAACAAGGTTTGACTGTATAAAGAACTACTCGTTTATTTAATTAGAACATTATAGGACGGACCTTCAATCTTACTAAAATCTACGCTACTTACATATCTTTCGGGCGAACTAATTGATCTATTTTTAGCAGTTATTGCTAATTCTCTAAGCTGTTGTCCTCAGATACGTTGCTGTATTGCCGCAGATCACTTCTTGTATTTACTTCCAAGTCACTTCTTTAGGTCACTTGTAATTATCAATTATTTCCCGTACTACCGCAGCGATGTTCCATTGTCATTGCAAGTTACTGCCGGTCGGATTGACACCGTCGTCGGAGTTACCGTTCATATCATATCATCACAACAACTGATAAACCAGAGTTTCTGAATAGCCTTGCAATTTTCTCTTATGAGATTTTTGGGATTCATTTTATGGAAGTTCCATAACCAACTCCCTTTTTAATGTCTTGTTCTACCTCAATTCCATTTATATAGCAAAGACCAAGATTATACTGTGTAGTTGCATGCTCCAGCTTCAATTGTATCCCCATGATTATTCAAGTGGATGGCAAATACAATAATTAATTGTGAGATTATTATTGTTATAAGTGAAATACTAGTATCAAAATAATCCCACAATAAGAATCATGATTTGTACTTGAGAACAATTAATTATCCAGTACTAGGATTAGTGTCACTTATTGACACTGAGTCATAATAATAAGTGTAAAAGAGATCACTAACTATATTATATATATTTGATTTTCTGTGACCTCGACTCAACAATATGGTTCCCTGGTGTATTTGATATAATTAGTGTCATATCAGTTTCCTCTTTGATAGAAGCATCAACTGCACAAGCAGGGAATTTGTTAATATATTTACACTGCAATTTTTTGTAAATATGTTGTAGCAAACTACAAAAGTTGGGCAAGGATCTCTCCTATCAGCCATGCATAATTGTCTTGACCATTGTTCTTCCTGTGTGATGCTGATATGATTCTCTGAAATAGCAGAGTAAGCCTTATGGTATAATGGTTGGCATGGCATGTAGGAAGCATTCTAATATCAATTTACTATTACATTGTTCTTTGGTCATATTTTGGTACTACACAGTGACTATGACATGTAGAACAGTGGAGACATAAAGTAGTCTTCTATCCTGGCATTCTCTTTAGTGTAATTTAGCATTTGACTTGCTGTCACTTTTATTTGGTATGGGTGCTTCAGATGGGTGCTTCAGTACTGGAAGGAATGTCCCCAGTCACAATTTGCTCAAATCAGGTTTGATATCATCTCTGTTGTGTGGCTCTAATAGAGAATGAAAAACTGATTTATGGGTATTTGGAATGAAACTTACAGCCTTGAGTTCTTAATTTCTACCCTCTTGCATTCTCAGTTTTGTTATCTTGCAGAGAGTTCTATTACCATCCATTAATAGATGTAGATGTTCCAATGCATCAAAATGGCATGATAATGTTATCATTGAGGTCGGCATTCAATCAGCAACCAATGGTTCACAGACTAAGACAGTGTCAGCGACAACCAAATGTGGATACTAACACCCGAAACTATAGTTCTAATATAGCACATTCTGCAGTATAAAGATCACCAATAAATCTTTGAACCATTGTTTGACAAGTTTCCTTATTCTATTATTCTAGTTAACGCAAACTTTTTCTGTGTTCTTTATAAGACCAAATTATGGTGGAGTTCGCTTGGTCTAAAACTCTAAGCTGTACATCACAGATCCAAAAAATATTGTCAGCGTTGCTAAGAGAAGCGATATTTACTTCAAACCAAACCGTCTTCTGATTTTCCCAACCACATTAGTCACAACCAGCACAGTTAAACTATGCGACTGTCGCCTTTGCACCGTCTTAGCTTAATACCAAAAACGATAACGCTAAGGCATAAACCTCAGTTCGAACTTGAATTAGAATAACATAGCCAAGATGATGCCAAGCAACTATAGAGCAAAATCATCGTCAAAATGGTTACGACAGATTCAACAGTTTTCCCCGCTACGATGATGGATATGACAACGGTCGCGGCGGATACGATAGTGGTCGCGGTGGATACGATAGTGGTCGCGGCGGTTACGATAGTGGTCGCGATGGACGTGACAACGGTCGCGGCGGATATGATGGTAGTCGCGGGTATAACGGATATCTTCGTGATCTCAAAAATAAAGCGAAAATATTTGTCGACGATGGAGCCTTCCTTTTAGAAGATGAAGTATTTCAGACCTTCTGTGAGCAATGTGGTAACATACTCACGTGGAAAAAGCGGATAAAGAACCAGTAATGAAGTAAAGAAGAAAATACAAGAGGAGGTCGATCCTCTGTTCAGAGATAACCCGAATAGAATACTGCAGCCCGATGACGCGAACAAAACACTTGATTATCTTGAAGCGGTCATCAAAGAAGCCTCGCGTATTTATCCTCCCCTGCCCATTAATCAGAGTTGCTACGCAGGATATGTGCTATGCATGGAAACTGTTTGCGACTGGCACAGTTACATTCTGAGGCTGTGGACTTTCCTAAAACTGGTGTCCCTGCTGAATTCAATTTTGTAATTTGACCCACCACAAACAGACATTAAATTGATCAACGATTATTCGTGGATGGCTATGAACAACATCTGGAAGACGCTCTGTTACGAAACGTGCATATGATGCAGATGTACGCGGTCTAATGAATCAATATGGTATCATGACTGAATACGAGATTCATAGTCAACTCTACCATAAAGGTGGAGCAAGTGAATACAGAGAGCGGTCAGTGAACTATTACCGTAAAAAATTTGAGGACATTTTTGCCGAATTTTCTGTAAAATCAGCAGCCGAGGCTAAAAACCAGATGCGTATTAAGAGCAGACTGGAAGCCAAGGCCTATGCTTTGTATCATGCTGCGTATCGAGAGAGGATGACCCTGCTGACAATATGATTTCCTTCCCGTGGACTATTGACGACCACATAGCTATTCGTAATTCTGGCCGATTTAAGGCTTTAGAAGACGTTTATAACGGTAGATCAACCACGAATACGTCGTATCAGCGACCATTGTCGCTCTGATAGTTTAGTCAAACTCTATGGAAAAATAACTTGGGAATACGAATTCCTCATCGATCAAAACTTCTTCAACTTTGCCAAGAACTGTTTGCAGAGCTCAAATCTAAATCTTCCTCCTACATTTTGTTTTAGAAGTTGTAAGTTTCTTTCCAATCCTGTTCCTCTAAATCCTGGCTGTCTCTGCACCTGGTTCACTTCATACCTATCGAGTCAGTACCGTACCAGCAAATTGTATATATTCAGCGACGTCCTCTGTCAACATCCTTCAAGGCCTTTCTATCACAACCCATGAAATGGAAAAAACGACGAAAGACTAGATAAGCAAAAGATGGTCCTGAAGAAAGAATAAAAAAAGATCGTCACTCGCCTCAATCTTCGGTTTCGTCGAACAAAAGCAAGAAAGAAGAAAATGAGAACGTGTTATCATTAAAAACATCATCTATTTCTTCGCACGAAAGTAACGGTTGTGGTGGAAATGAAGGTCGGGGAGGCTATGAAAATCGAATGGGTTATAAAAATAGAATGAATTATGACAACAGAGGAGGTTATGAAAATCGAGGAGAATATGAAGGTCGAGAGGGTATGGAAATCGAGGGGGATACGAAAGTCGAGGAGGATACGAAGGTTGAGGAGGATATGAAGGTCGAGGAGGGTATGAAAATCGAGGGTATGACTCAAAACCATATGATAACAAATATCAAGGCATTCTCCTCAATCCGACGAGTGCCAAATCAAAATCGCAATTCATATTCCTCTGAAGACAGTGACGATGCTCCACTTGTTACGAAAATGCAATCGTCAAGTTCAGCTGCTCCTAAGAAGATTTTAGACTCGGATTGGATTCTTCAAGCGATGAGAAAGAGGAAGAGAGCGAGAGCGATGATGAACAGCCATCGAGTAAGGCGGTAAACAATGCCAGGAAGAGGGTTGGTTATTACCCGAATCCACCGAATCCACCGAGTTCGTTATGATCCGATGATTATGATATACGTGGAAATGGTGCGCCAGTTCAGCCTGGTAATCCACAGATGCCATCAAAATACGCACGGGCATACATTCCTCTCCTCCTCCCCCCCGCATTCTAACTCGAGACATGGAGGAGGCTTCCTGCCAATCTGTTTGCACCAGTTCCTTATCGAGATGAAACTCTTCCATACGATGCTCCGTCGCGTCATCATCCTAATTATTACACACAATACGAAGCACGGGCTCGTTATTGGAAATGTCAATGCACCGATTCCTCCTGCCCCACCAGCGGCTGTCGATCCATCACTTAAACCCATTCCAATACTGTAACCGTATTTCCTACACTCCTAATATCAAATCAACCGTTTCTGAATGTTCTTCAGTTCCTAACCCTAATATTTAGGTCTTTTATATGAAAAGGGTCTTCTTGCTTAGATGCTCCCCTCTGAAACCTATTAACTCCGATTCACATTGCTGTCATTTATTTTTGTCATCCAAATAATAGATAACAAAAGCTTTACATTACGGGGCGTATGAACTATAAAAAGAAGCCTCATACAGACGATATTATAAATTATCGGCCATCCCTTAAAGAGCAAACAATGTCGCTGATCAGCTGACAGACCTGCTATCAAACAAACGCAACGCACAGGGGAAAAAAAAGCTATGATATCATACAATATTGAAATAGGGAATTCATCAAACCTTATGCTTCCCCCAACACTCGACACATTCACAATGACATACAATACTAGTATCATGACGTGCAACAGTTAAACCATTTAAAGCAATATAGTCTAGACCAAGATCAGCCTTATATGCATCCTATTGACACATAATAATGTCGAGTGTAACAAGTCTCAGGTGAGACTGAGTTACGCTACTAGTCCCAATTCGGGACGAGACAGCAAAGAAGATTTGAATGGAAATTTGACTATGAGAGAATATACACGACTCAATAGAGTACTTGTATAAATAAACTATTCTACAGCCAATAGTGTTTGTTCTGCTGAACCGATTTAGCAAACACAATAGATGATTGTTAATCAATTGTATAAAAGTGTGTTAACAGCCCACACTCGTCAACTCACAAACTCGCCCACCCTCAAACAAAATTTTAAAAATTCAAATTCACTTTTTTTCCTGGTTTAATACCATCGCTTCCCTCTTCCTTATTATCAATATTTTTAAAATAAACAATTTCGAACACGGGAAACGGGTAAGCAATATCTGTGACTTGTATCTGCGATTTGCTTCAACTTACAAAGGCCATTACAGTTATGACTAACACAGGCCAAAATAATTTAGGTTTCGCAAACGAAAAAAGCCAAAGGCTTATATCCCTCGAAAGTTTTCCGACGGCCAGTTCAGTTTGAGAAAGAGGGTAGCATACTCTTACCGACAAGAGGTTACCCTGACCGGCAAAAAATATGACGGTCAATCTTATCAACCAACAGCATCATTATAGGTATTAAACAGTGATTTATATGTTGACAAACTTTTAATATTAATTTTTCTATTGTTAATAATAGATACAGATTGGCGTGGCATAAATGCCATGAACTTGAAAATTCTTCCGGTTGCCCCTTCATAAGAGCGCATATAATCGCGCGGGGGCAACATAAATAACAATTATTCTTCCGGTTGCCTCCTTTACAGTAGCAATTAATATACAATCGCGCGGGGGGCAACATAAATAACAATTTAATTTATGTTTAATTTTTATCATGTATTATATTGAATTAATTCAATCGTGTTGGCCTCATGTTTGTTAACGAGGCATTCCAACTATCGTGTATCAATTTTTTTATCATGTATCAATTTGTTTATCATGTATCAATTTGTTTATAAACATTCCTTTTATTCTTACGCTAATATTCAGTACACAATAATAAATAATAAAAATTGGTCGTTGGTCCAGTTACCAATCCAAAAAATAAAGTAACAATCTTGCTAGCAACTATACAACTACGAAGCGTACGAAACTTGTCGTTCCTACTAATTACATAATTATCCGATATCGTATATCGAACGCAGCAAAACGTGTAGTGTGAAAGTAGAATTTAATTCATGGACGAGGTTATACGATATTTTAAGAGATGATTTGCTTAATATTACTCAGATATAATGTCACTCAGATATAATGTCTGGTTTTGATAAAGGTTCTCTTCTTTCATAACTATTTGTCGTTCGATCGATATGGTATTATTCATAGTGTGAATACAAAACTCGATATGAAAGATCGAAAAATATGATCAATTAATATATATTTGGTATGCAATAATGGATGCGACGAACAAACGTAAACAGCCGATTTTTCGATTTCTTGTAAGTTTTATTGTTTTATTTATTTGCGACTTTTTTATAACAGTAGCAAAAAAAATAATGCGTGGGTCAGTTTAAAGAGCACGTGCGAAAGCATATATTTTCACAGTCTCCAGGCGCGTAGCTTGCTTGCTTGTCGATTTGAAGGCTATACTAATACGTTTTTTACTATTGTAAAATAATCGGCTGAGAAAAAGCTCCATATAATAATAAGGGACTTGCCCATGTTGGTGTCGGATAAATCCCTAAAAGCGGACATTCATACGGATGAATATTATTATCGCAATGTTTCCGTGGTTGCGTAAATTATGTGGACTTATTTGTCAATAGTGCCTCTTGAGTGTGAAGCATCCAGAAACTGTTCTTTAAGATTATACCTACCCCATCGAATACTTGACTCAATCGCTGGATCACTTTTCCATGAGATACAATTCCAAAGGAGAATTATTTTTACACAAGAACTAGATTCTGTATCCAACAACAACCAAAGGCTGCAATGCGCATTTTGAACTAGCCTTTTCCCGTTGGTAATTCATTATTAGCTCTTTGGCAACAGTTTCTACTATTATCCAGTGACAAATTAAAAAAATTATTCGATGACTTATGCTTGTTATTATTGATACACTGTCATCTGACTAGTTGATTTACAGTGTGTGACGAAATGGAAGTAATGGCGGGGACAAAACGTGCACTCAAGCAAAAAACTATTGCGAGGGAGTATAAAATATCAAAACAGGCTGTCTCAGATATTTTGAAAAAACGTGGTTAACAATAGAGACATATACTAAATTTGTTCTCAATTTTGCCGTTTAATTGATCTAATCATTATTCAAATATTAAGCTTATTATCGTAAAATTTTATTCTAAACCCACCATCTTTAATGCAATTCATCAGCGTAGTTGGAATCGGACGGAAATTCTTCCTCCAACTCTGCCTGAGATGACTCTAGAACGTGAATTATCAGTAACCAACTCACTATCAGCAACGAATTTATAAATCAAGAAACAACCACTGAGGAGGGGTATTGGTATGGAGGAGGAAAGTGAAGAACTTAGTGTTGAGAAGGTGTCTGTTCGTGAAGGGCTTGAATGTGCAACGTTGATTTTATAAGTCAGAACGACCTAGGTGTAAAGCATTGAGCAAAGGAGGCAGACAAATCTTGATGAGTTTTTTACATTCGAGTCTTAAATTGAATTTATTGTTAGGGTTTATGTCACACTTGTTATATCGTGATATAAAGACGTGATTTTCTTAAATCTATTACTACTTTTGTTACACAAATAGTCAGATGACAATCGTCATTTTTTATTTTGTCACCGGATGAATCGTGGGAAATATTAGAGGAGCTAATAATGAGTGTATGTCTCATAGGAAGGTGATCAGCGATTGAGTCAAAACTACAAGTATTCGATGGGTTAAATATTAACTTGAAGAACAGTCTTTGGACGCTTTACGCTCAGGAAGGCATTATTATTATTACGAATAAGTTCACATAACTTACGCAATCACAGGAATAATGCGATCAAGAAGATATAATATGAATGTCAGCATTTATGTCTCTCAAGTTTTCTCCATCCTGATGCTTTCTAGATCAGCAGCATTACGATTTGACACGCGCGAACAGCATTGTGTTATGCTCGGATTGGATTGAATGTCCGAAGGCTGCGAATTTGACCATCAAAATCAACATATAGGGCTGAAAATAATTTAACTGGGATTTAGGATGTCGAGAGAAATTAGGTTTATTGGGACGAATTGGAGGAGCAGGGTCTGAGGAAGAGAATGTATGGATATTGTCCGAATAAAACTAGCTCCGTGGTATGGTACTGCACAAACTGCTTGAAATGAGAAATTTGTAGGTGAAGGTTGAGATGGTGGTGCGTTGCAAGACCTAGAAAAAGGGCGTATTGATAAGTAAGAAGGACACTGGTCGAAAATAGACAATTGGCTGATGTTATTAGCAATTCTGGTATGATGACAAAGCCAGGATTAGATAATTATTAGAAATTAGTTTGCAAAGTGAACTGACACAAGCTGCTGAGATGGGAGATATGAGAGCGCAGTATAAATGGAGATATTGAGCAAGACATTCTGCAAGCATTTGTTCAGTTTAAGAAATTGCCGAGCAGGGATACGGTTGTATGATAGCACCAGGTGTGCTTGATCATAAATGTCGATGTGTCAGTAAATACTTATACGGTTTGTTTTCAAAATGCTGTCGTATAGACATGTCATTGCTCACTACATTTCATTTCCTACGAATACTGAGGTATTAGTATATGCTTTTAAAGCGATCTTTTCGTGTCAAGCGCATAATACTATGTTTGATGCTCCTGTATTCTTTCCGACAACCTTCCTCTTTATCCGTACATCCTTTCTGGTTCTTCCTTGTAACTTCTCACTTCCAAATACGGAACTATCCTTTCCATACTTTCTGAGCATGGCTTCGACTTGTTTCCGATTCCACGCACTCCAACATTAACATGCCCGGGAACGTTAATTTAGTCAACGTACTTGTTATCGAGCTTCATTGTGTTCGATTCACGCGTAAATTACGTAGAATCAAGATGCTCGATTAATCGTTCATTGGTCAAAGAAAATCCGCCAGTTACTAAATGTCGTAACCAATTTCGTTTTGGATGCGATTTTGGGAAGTAGAGGTATGGTTAACGCGTTTGTTAATGGATGTCGCTAACAAATTATTAAACGCTCAGACTTACAAATTTCTATTTACCAAATATAGTAGTAGACATTCTTACAAATATCGGAATGGTCTTCCATTTCGATTTTCTTATTCGCACGGGTTCCTCCACTTGCGGAATTCCCTCGAAACTTAGACTTGATCGACATCACCATTATAGGTAAATATGACAAAGCGCGACATGAGACTTTAGAGGCAAAAAAAACCCCCACTTTTGGCGTCTCTTTATTTCAGCTTCCAGGACTTTCCCCGTTCCTTCATTATTGTCATAAATCACTTCATCAACTTGCTTCGCAAGTATTAACACGAACAGGTCCATCACACGACTAAATCGCCCGTTCCGTTAGTGACTAGTACCAGAGGCATTTCCTTGTCCTTTCAAACACCTAATAAATATGCAAATAGAAATATTTGCAAAGTCGCATTAGAGGAAAGTTTCTCATAACTTGGTTGACGAGATCTATCTCCACTAGAGAGAACGTGAATATCCAGCAACTAAGAATGTCAATCCTTAGTAAACAGAACTACACCTGTTCTGACAATAAGGCATGATCTGTTCAAGCAGCCACCGGTACCATTCGTAAATCTAATACAAAATCAATACTATCTTTAACACGTTGATCGACAACCAATAGAACACCTTACCTCAATTTTCTAGAAATTTCTAGGTTAGTATATCACTATTTAACCAGTTCTCGTAATATCGTACACGTGTGGTTTCTTAATTCACGTGCCGTCTATTGCCCAATGAGAATTCAACTTCCGTAAAAATTTTTACTATTTAATACGTTGTTTGTACGCGACCCCCATCATAATCTTTTACTTCCCCACTCGCAAGTATGAGCTTTACTACTACTTATTACTGGTTTGTTGGCAAAACTTCACTACCAACTGATACTGACTATTTTCTGTTTTACAACCTCTAGAAACCACAGTACTTTTTAGAAATGGCACAGAGCAGAGCAGTTGTTAATGTTTGATAAGCGCGACACAGGTTAGTTGGTGATAACAATAGTGATTACGCTGTTATTAAAATACTAAATGTAAACGGTGACATTTGATTGTAGGAGCTTCAGCAGACATTTATGTTTACGGGTTTTATGACGAGTGCAAGAAATTTCTGTCTCAAATGGCGGGTAAGTTCCATAATTATACATACTGCCTTTGTTGTTTTCTGAATGTGGTCACTTTTGCTTAAAAACTCACAACACAATATCTATTCAAACTCTCAGGTTCGATTCCAACTCTGCGTTCTCCAAGGAGTAAACGGATTCTACGCTGCAGTGACGCGTGGAATTTGGACACACCTCATTGGGTGGGGGTGGGTGTCCGCACTAAGCAGACGTTAGAGGCCTATTTGATACAGGTGTGGGAAAACGAGGGACCTCTCATCAAACGATTTTTCGAAGTCCTTTCGGAACTCGCGCGGCAAATACAAAGCGCGAGTATTTCACATAAATATGTACCCAGGGAGAAGAAAGCTAAAGCGGAAAGACCTGGATAATTATTTTTATGGAAGCATTATATTACTTAAACGAATTACTCATTTTGAAATGAAATTATTTGTGTAATAATATTTGTATAATAATAAACATTACTCTAATTTCGATGATAACTGATTAAGACAGTCGACATGCCAAAAGTATAAATACGATTAAGATTTTACCAGTAAAACGTAAATCATATTCCACTGCTAATAATATTACCATTCTGAAGCTAAATGATTGTATTTTTCTATATAAGGCAACCCGTAATGTTTGGGCATTACCATCACCATCATAAAATGATCGTAGTTGGACTTATTTTGTCAGTAGTAAAACTCGGTTTTTATTCAAACATGCCAATATGCTTTACACGTATTATGGTGTCGGAAGCCATAACTCGACAATAAAATGATATGAATTTAAAACCTTTCAACCCCAAAAATTATATTTTTTTAGATACTTTTCTTCTTCATGATAAGGTCTACAAAGTTACCGGTCAGATTTTCAAAACATGGCCTGTATGAAAAGTTATAAGCCTTTAAACTTGGGTTACTTTTATATGATCAGTATAAGCAAAGCTCAAAATTTGAAATTAATTCGTTCATGTAAGTGAGTATAATCGATACTGCGAACGAATGTGCAAATTCATCAACGAACAATTATAGTTTCCTTACACTGTCAACTATAATATAAAAATAATATATACTTTGACATACGTTTCAGGGTCGTTCTCTCTATTTATACAAACTCGCTTACTGTCACCTCTGTGATACCCTCTTCTAAGATCTATAGTAGCAGCTTTGACGGACATGACAACAAACGTGAATCATTAGATAATTGTATATTTTATTGATAATTGTTGTGAAAACACGAACGTTAAGAGTGTATTCTACATGCTGTTTCGAATTTAGGTTTCTCCGTGAATAAGTAGTTCATCCATTGGATGTCCGTGCATTAATGACTACGTATAATTGTATGGTAATTCGCACAGGAGTATCTGGCTATAATGCACTGGGCGATTTGCTGGGAATAAATGCAAGTTGGTGAAAGAATAAGTAAGACAATATCACTCATACAAAAGGGCCGAAAGCCCCCTCACACCCGTGGACAAATCGAAGGGGGATGATTTAAGAACTATGGCGGAGGCTCGGAGGTAAGTCGTTGTTATAATAACATAGTACATGTACATCCGCCGGTTTTAGCGACGTTGAAATATGGCCGAAGGCTGCGATTACTAACAATATGGCTACGTGTGTCTTATTGTATTGTCGAACAAAAACCAACGTCAATATTAGATATTTCTCTAAAATTAAGGAGACTAGACTATTAACTTACACAATTGTATGTAAATTGGGATACCAATAGTATACACGTAAACCGCGAATGTCCACTATATACTATTATAATATAAATATGTTAGTAAACCTCATAATCTCACAAGCAACTTTATCGATACATAATAATTGAAATCAAGTAAATAACCTTCCAACATTTAAATTGAGCTGTTTGCCCCTATCATTAGTAGAAAGAGAAGTGATTCTGTGTCATATTCCGACAACACATTGCCACTGAATTTTTTATTGACCTTTCCTTAAATGTAGCCATTTAGGATGGGATCGTATACAGTAGTCAATGATATTACTCATGCCATGGGAACATTACTGCATCACCCCCAAAAGATTTTATCATCATAATCATGTTATGCTGTTAAACTGCAGAGATCATATCGACCAAAACACCATGGATCAGGTCACCTCCGTTATTGCAATAAACATTACCACCCTACTCTATAACTGTATAACCAAGATGTATTAGGAACGATTAAATGTCTTTTCGTTTAATCGAGTACTTGCATCAATATGTGTTAATGGTTTGATAACTACATCGCTGGTACAGTATGTCGGCCTTTGTACCATACCCCGATAATAAATAACGTTCAAGATGATATAGTGTAGGAAGTTGCGTACTTAAGTGTAATTAGCGTTATGATTATATCGAGAACTATGAAACGTTTAGATAGCATAAATTTAAATGCTTTCCTAATTTACGGATGGTATTAGTATAGGAAGTGTAATCAGGGTTATTGATATGAACTTGGGATCGAGAACTATGCGACGTTCAAATGAATTTCCTAAAACGTTCGGTAGAAGTAGAAGCGCCCCGATGAAGACAAGACCCATGAAGTGATAATCTACAACACGTATAATTTATTTTAGAACATAATGCGCTAGCTCACAATATATTGTTAGCTGTCGGTAAATATAGTAAATGCTTGTACCTTGTGAACAAGCCAATCCAACACGATTACCGGAGTCATCGGCTTCAAAAGTTTCCATATTTGATAAGATAATATGACGAGACCTTGCATAATAAATCTGCTGACGAGGCCTTGCATAAAATCTGCTGACATGGCGTTAAACGTAATAGTAAGTCTTGTTTGTTGCGTAACCAATTTTAAGGAATGTTCTGGCCCTTCAGCAGGCCAATCGTTTGTTTATATTACACGTCAGTATGGAAAGTCTTAATTGACTCATAGTGAGGAAGACAAAGACATTTATCCCATTTTAACGATGGGCTGAGGCGGAAAATTGTTGCCAGTATTGTATACTGTATAAAACGTAAATGGTTAAACTCTAGCAGATGACATAAGCTCTCGCAAAGCGGTGTCGAGTATTGTTTGTTGGGGTACATCTTACTGATATTTGATAAGCACTTGATCGTAACCAATACAATAGACTTGAGAGGATCTAATCGTTGTTTACATGTAGTGTATCCCTTTAAAATATACTTCTAATAGAAACAATGAAACATCCGCAGCGTGAATTAATTAAATTATACGTTGATAAAGTTAAGCTCTTTAAAAAGTACTGCAAATCAGCTTTTCCAATAGTTTCCAGGAACATTTAATGGAATTCCCAACCTCATTGCACAAACGACTACGCTATTGAACCTACCTTTCTTGGAATTGAATTGACTTGAGCACAAGGAGGCTTATTTTCAACCTGCCCGTCGTTTGTTCTATCTCTAAACACACGGTTATGAACGCAAGTCACCAAAGTCTTATTCTGTTTGGGCAGAAAAAAGTGTTGGCGATTGAGGATACTACTGTTCGAAAGTATTTCCTCGCCGTAAACTTACAAGATCATAGTTGCTTTTCGTCACAGTAGTATCCTAATTTGGTATGAATGCCATCTTTTTTTAAAATGTGTAAATTAAGTATCACAAATATTGCGCCTGCATTGTCTTAAATGGGCATGTCATAGAAAATGAACAAACAATGCTTATTATTATCAGCGTCTATAATCATTAACGAGTTGACTAATCTGAAATGTTTCTATTGAGAATACACTTATGTGAATAAAATAAATTTAATTGCCAGACATTTTTTTAGAGTACACTCAGTAGAAAAAACAACTGATTTTGTCATTGCACAAATTTAAAATTGGGCATCACGGGATCCAAAATTTATATTTAAGCTCGCGAGTGACGACGTTTTTTGCTCCAGCCTTATCGGCTAATATCAACAACCAACGATATCCATCCATCAACACTCTCATTACTCTCCGCATACTCTCCACATACTCTCTCCACATACTCTCCACATACTCTCTCCACATACTCTCTCCACTCCACATTATACATTACTCATTACTCTCTCCACATTACTCTCTCACATTACTCTCTCCACATTACTCTCCACATTACTCTCCACCCCATTCCATATTACTCTCCACTCCATTCCACATTACTCTCCACTTCCTGCCACTCACTCTTCAAAAATGATTTTCGAATCCAGTAATTCAGCCGAGTAAGTTATTTCGGTCCGAATTCTACTGTATTAGTTAGTATCTAGCGTTTGATAAATGTAGTTGCACAAGATAATATGCCATTCATGTGATTATGCATATTAACCTTATTAATAAACCACGTGATGCCTAATCATAAATATAAATGTTGCTTTTAGTCAATTCCTCTCACAAGAAGACGTAATAATAGTTAGGGAGGTTAAGAAGCAATACACTTTTTGTGACCGCTCTTAATTGGTTTTGGTGCAATGGTTTCCACAAACGTGCTCTCACCACCGAAATAATTAATTGATTTAGAGTGCGGAGAAGAACGCAGAAGAAAATGAAGAGGAAGAAGTGGTGCTGCTTCGGGGAAGCCAATCTACGCCAGAAACTGGCATCGAGGAAGAACGAGGTCCTGCTACTCGAGCAACAACGACGTAAGTAAATTACAAGTCAATACACTATAGTATTCTGTAACAAGCTAAAATAAGACAATATGTACATCAATTAGCGCCACAATCGAAGAATCAGTACAGTCCAGAAGTAATCTTGATAACAGAACCACCGCGGGGATATAATACCACAGACATTCAAAATCAAATTGTATGTCTTTTTTTTCCTTTTCTTTTTTTTTTACATTTGATTTCGCAAAGGGATATCGGTTTTTTGGGGTAATAGTAACCAATTGATATGAAATCTGTAGAACGTAATAAATGATAAGTCACGAAATATCAATAACGCTCGAAACCAAGCGCAAGCCGATCAACAGGCGTTAGTGCTTCAGGATACCGCAGAGTAAGTTAGTTACTTTGGATTATAATTATAGAAAGATGAGAAGTTTAATCGTTATTTCGATATGATTTTATTTATTCATATATATCAAGGCTCCAGTATCTCGCTGTCGTGGACGAACGGCGTTTGGAAGCCATACGCGAAAGCGATCCGGATATGTATGAAGCAGTATACTGGGTCCAACGCAATCAAGATCTATTCGAAGAACAAGTTTTCTCCCCAATTTTTCTGGAAATCAATGTGAAAGAAGAAAGATTTACAGATGTAATTGAAGCCGTCGCTGGACAGACCTTACTAAAGGTTTGTACGCTCTCGATACTAAAACCTGTCCGGAAGCTCTTTACTAATAGATGAAATATTCTCTCTGTTGTGTTAGATGTTTGTGTGTCAAACACTAGAAGACTATAGATTATTTGTGAATGAAGTAATAGACTCGCAACGTTTGCGCGTGAATGTTATATGGTGCAAGGATAGAGTCTTACAAGATTTTAGGCCGCCAATTCCGCTCCAAGAGGTTTGTCTTTGCTTTATCTCACATAATGTGCGTTGAAGAGCCTATCCTATATATTGATAAGTTGTTCTTTGAGTAGTTGCAACAGAATTACGGTGTGGAGGCAAACTTTCATGCCGTGGTATGTGTCTTTGAATGCTGTTACAATACTATTACATGCTCTTTTTGCATTACGTCGGGTATCGATCAATTTCAAATATACCCCCTTTACTCTATTGCTAGCCTTACGCCTCAGGCGAAATCAACTTCCTAGAATCAGCGAGATCCTTTGAACCTTTCACTTATATTTGCAGCATTAGATCGAATTAACGACATATGGAGGGCTAAGAAATTCGTTTCGAATGAATCACGCAGAATTTCTGAGGACTCGGTGGCAATAAAAGCGTTTTTTAGGAAACTAAGAAACTTCAAATATTTCAAAGGGTAACGTAATGGTCATCAGCGCGTTAACTTGACTAACGCTACCTGTATTCTCAAATCTTGCGTCGACTATTACAAATAACGTACCGAGAAATAAAATACTCTGTGCCCAAGCTTCGAAATTAGACTCTTAACGTAAATTCTTGTGTCTCTGTAATGCAGACAGAAAGTCGTACAGTATGAGTATATCCCGTGATCAAACGCAGCTAATAAGTTCGACCGACAATTTAGTTTGCGTGTACAGTGCCCTGCCAAAAGTGAATTGGTCACTACGAAATTTCGTTGATCAAATGCTAATAGTTGCTCACCGAGCGGAATTATTTTGATGGCTGATGGCAATTAATTCACTATCATCAAATTATATATAGTCATAGCATTTAACAACAGTGCCGCGTCACGATTAAAGAACGGGGATCGTCACGGATGTATGGAGGATTGTACACACGAGGAGACGATTATAATAAACCGCCTTCACCTCTCAAAGATCAATATGCAAAGCTTTACTTCGTCAAACGGTCTCATATGAAAATACACTCAAGCTGATAATTGCGAAAATCCAATTAAATTAAAATCCAACAGTAAGAAGCCTTCGACATTGCCAGAAAGCTAATTGCTCTCAAGCAATATAATATAATGTATAGACAATGTTGGGAAACCCCCATCGTAATTCACACGCTTGCAATTAAATTCGGGTTAACATCGCGTTCTCAGTCGCCCACCTTCCCAATCCTTCTAAAGCCCCTTGACAACCCTTTTTGCGCCTGGCTGCGAATATTAATACTTTCGCTACGGAACTTGACGGCTTTGGTTTCATATAGGCTGGTAACCCATTAGTACAATGGCCTCTTCGTCTAGTAAGTTTCAGTGGACGATTCGAGACAACAAGAGGAACGCGAGGATGCTGAGAATTCCGTGTGAAAGCTGGGAAAGAGGATAACTTAAGAGCATTGCTTGGTAGTGTCGATATACAGCAGTATTATGGGAAAGGGAATCAAAAGTTAGGTATACGAAGACATCCGGATCCGGTATATGGAAAGTTTATAATAATAAGAGACTCCGGCATAAACAAAGAATTTTCATATGAAACGAACGGTGCGCAAGAATCTGTCCGTGAGATTCCGGTATTAGTATATACATTTCCGGTATAAACAGATTTGTCATTTTATTAAACATACAGATATAGCGATCAACTATATAAACACGATTACAGCAGTAGTGCCGTTGTTAATTGTATAATATTAGACGAAACCTCCCTCGTCTATCCATACATCTTCTTCTTTTTTTTACAATCCGTCCGTTTGTCTTAACCCAAAATTCCCATTTGAAATAAAACCGATCTCTCTGGATTTCCAAATCCTTCACTTAGTCGGCCTTCTTCGGTCCCTTGTGTTGATTTGATATTCGAACGCGCAGTCTTCGGACAGTCAGTCTAATCCGAGTATTATGCATTGCTCAAAAGCTCAGAGATTATCTGGGAAGCTTCGGTTGGAGATATTAAACGTGAGCATTTATAATGCCTTGAACGTGAATTGTCCACCGAGAATATAGTAAGAACAGCGATATATTGCTGTAGAGTCATAATTGGTGGCAGCACATCGTCTGAATATGGGATGAATATAACTTTTATATTGATTGTGTGTCGCCATATGCAGCAGGCTGTCTTGTAGTGTTGTTTAGTGGGCCAAAGACCATGTCGTTGTATGTGGCAGCAGCGCGTCGTCTTGTATTCGGCAGCTGTGTAGCTGCGAGCAGAAAGTCGTAGGCTGGTCAATTTGCAGTATTGTGATAGATATCAATAACTGCTGGACCATTCGTAAACTCCCTCATTATTAATCTCCAGTTTCTAAATGTTACGAAACAGAGAGTCTATGTGATGATATTGATATTTGCTCAGTGGTAAGTAGTAAAGCTCATACTCATTAACTTTAGTTCCATATATCCCCCATTCAATATCGCCATAACCCCCTATTTATTGCATTATCAAAGTGTTAACATAACGGACTGTTCACTTTAAACAGTATCGAGTCAACTGACAAAATTACCATCGTCTCGTCTCCTTAAACTAGAAATTTTTTTACCAAGGCAAATAAAGTAAAAAATCTGCAATTATCATTGGATGATAATTGTAACGTGACCAAATATAGCCCTTTTTGACAAACTGTGAGAGTCTCGTCCAGAAATTTCTATTAATATTAATTTAACTGAAGCCGAAACTGAATTAAAAATAATTTCTGTCGATAATGACTTATCAACGACCCGGACAACCTCGAAGAACGATTCTGGATGTTGTATTTGCTTAATTGGAATTATTATGAATGCCCGTATTTTATCTCTACGTGTCCCTTTCTTCGCCAGCATCCACCAAAGCATGCTTAATGCTTCCTGGATCAACGTTACAATTTGAGGTGTGGATCAAGAGTACGCCCCTGCTCAATCTAGACTGCGCGATGTTATAGAAGTGGAACCAGAGTGTGAGAAAGTGGTCAATAGGGAACATGCGAACACAATACTTACTCAGATACCGCGACGCTACGAGTTTGAATATCAAAGCAATGAAGATGATGCAACTAGGCATTAGGACAGAGATTGATTTTATTATTTCAATGAAAGAACGAGAGGTCTACGGAAGGGGACATATGGATATAAGAATATTTCTTCCAATATTTATAATTGCTACTAGCTCGGTGTATGATACTGCACAAACTGCCACGAAGCATGACCGATGGGAGTTTAGTAAAGATGAAAAGATTAAGTTCAAGGCGATGGTGAAAATGAAGAGTAGATTGGCCAGCATGCTTGTATATCTCATTCTCGATTTGGGTTCTCACTTATCCATAACTTATTGGCATTGATATGCTAAGCCTTGTTGTTTCTATAAAGGCCGTAAAACAGCGCTTACGTGCCAACTGATTTTTTGGGACTAGTATTTACACAAGTCATTTTGATGATATTTCCCTTTCGTGTAAGACAAACTTTTTATCCTCCTGCAAGTTCAGTCCTGTACTTTCAATATGAACGCCAAGTAGAAATTGCATAAAAGTCAGGGTTAGAGTTACAGAACAATATAAGAAGTTGCCGCAACGCAAGAGTAGATTACAGTCCACGACGAAATACTGGCGGGAATTTGAAATGTACAACTTTGTTCTTATTATTTTTTTACTCGACAAAAATCAACACTGATAGCATAGCAAGAGCCCGATCGTCGTAAAGAATCATTATACGCAACATGCCAGAGTATTTAGAAATGTATTGATCTTATCATACGTTTACACAACATACATGCTCAGGACCAAGAAAATTCAGCCAACATAATTTAGTTGGCGCCACTGAACGCCTGAATTGAGAAGTCGGGATTGGTGTGGCCAGGTAAAGTTAATTATGAATTAATCAAATATTAGAAATCAACGTATTATTAACCTAATATCAATATTTCAAATTTACTTTTTCATCAATCCTAACCCCTAGGTTCTATTTTACAACAGAGTATGCTCCCAACAAGCGCTTAATCTCAATGAAGCACAATATGAGTTCGCATAGGCGCGATACGTTCTTGTAATCTTTGAGAAAGAGTGGAAAGACAAGTTAGAAGGAGAACATTTTGGACACTGTGTAATGCTCAATATTACTCCGTATAATACTGCCCAAACTACTGGTCGGAAATTGAGATTATAGGATTATTCACAATCCTGGATCTTCGCAATCATCAATCCCCCACGATAATTTCGAATGAAAGTCAGACATGCTATTCCTGTCGCGTAAATGGTTTAGAAGCTAAAGGCGAACTGGAGCGGGGTCTGAAGAATCGAACGGTAATGAGGTGATTATATCAGATGAATCGAATCTCCAATTAAAAACAACACTCCTCGAAGAGTGCTACCTTATCAGAACCCTATTAAATAATTCCTCACATAAGAATTTGCGTATCTTCAGGAAAAGCCTTGAGAAAACATTCATTGGTCCCAAATCTGCTTTTTGCCAGACTCGCTAGTACAGACCCTTGAAAGACTCATCAAGTCAATCTGCATAATACAACGTTCCAGACTCCCCCCCAGGCAACAAGGACTAAATTCTGAATCCATATTTGAGGCGAATCACATTATCCATGTCCTTTTGTGTTTCTCAGACTATTTCGCCATATTTTCGTGCCGCTTGTCTAATTCTTTCATGGATTCCTTCCTCTTACATTGCCGGCACCATATCATTGTTCAAAAACCATCCACAATCGTCATAAACATTTCCTGATACTATTTCCAATTTTTACCCAAAGACGCGAAAGATAATATGCCATATTTTTCCCAAAAAGAGATACTTTGGAATCCGGCAACCCGTCGAGCATGTGTATATGATTCGCACCTTCTCCCACTTCATAGCGGTTGGGGGGATTTACTATCTTGATCGAATATCTTATATAATACATACATATATTGTATTTGAGCGTGAAATCTCTGCCCCAATTTCTTTTGGAACCATTAGTCATTATAGTATACGACGTATAGTCAAGATTATATAATATCACAGGCAATCTTCATACCGTCTTCATTTCGATTGGTGGTGCATAGTTATGGGGAGGGGGGGAGATAGTCGATTGAGCTGACGTGTCGGTATGATGCAGTGTCGGCAGTCGCGCTGATAGAGAAGTATGGCTATTGCCAAATTGCATAACCTTTCGAGGTGTTGATAGGCGGTGATTCGTTGGGTTTAGTGATGTTTCATTAAGGAGTGGAGGGAGGTGGTGAAGGTGGCGAAGTGAAGGGAAGGGAAGAGCGGCTAAGATAGTTTACGCCAATGTTCTGATCTGTCATTCCCTTTGCCTACGCCGATATATTTACTGTTCGATCGATTACCACAGAGTCCCTACATGATTATTTATTAGCGCACCCTATTAGAAATAAATCAAATATATATATCCACTATCTTCTGTTTCGATTGCACCATAACATGATAGATACAGCTTAACGTTTTTCTAACCGGTATATCGTGCATGTGCCCTTTTTTGTTGGCGACTTACCTTTTCTCTACCTAATGTCGTAGACAAAGTGGGTAAACATACACGACGTGACTTGACATATGAAAGTAGATTGCCATGTGCTTGCTAGAACAATCCGATGCGTAAGTATTTAAGTGTATTCGACGTGTGGTATGCAGGGTTGCATGAGTTTCATATCAATGTGGTGATAAGGAAATGCACCATTCGTAGATGGAGTTGAGTAGGACGATTGACCTTCCACGCCGTCGTGTTTAAGTTCCTCATAACAGGGATGAATGATTTGAACGTTGGAATAAAGGTTTATGGAAGAGAGACGATGTAATACAAGAAGCACATTATGTTTAAGTTTGTGAGCCTAGGATGAGATTTTATGAGAAAGAAGTGGCTATGTTTACGAGAGGAATACTTTCACTCACGTAATAGGACTATCGGGAAAAGCCCATGTCAACAACACTCAAGCTCGTTGGAGTAGGAAGTCTAGGAAAGGTTAATATGGAAAAGAAGCGGTTGCGTTTATCATGAGACCGCGTAATACAGCAGGACTATCGGACGGAAAGATATTCTATTAGCATTATTATTATATTTGTGATCCACAGAACGTAAAAGCGGATAATTTGGTTGGTCCGTGTGTTACTGTAGAAATTTAATGAACCACGCGTTTAAAACAATCAAGGGTTCAGTATCGTATTACATCACCGTGTCTTGTCTCCTTTAATAGAAGTGATCGGTTGGCGATCGAATAGTTGAGATATCAGATATTAATTGACATGAGTACATTAATAAATACATTAACCATATTATGTGACAATATCGAGTCGTAACATTTATGGCAATTTCATAATTACTAAACTCGAGCCTTAACATAGGATTGGATGATACGGACGCAGCAATTACGATAAGAATGTGCCCCCATCTTTTGCTTATATGCTATCTTCGTTCGCTCCCCTTATAATTAAGACAAAACATGTATCCTCAGCAATATAATAATAAGGACAAAATACGTCCTCATCAACACCCAGACATTTTATATATGGTACTAGATATTGTACCAAATACATTAAGAGCTAGGTCATTAAGACCTATACCTACACTCTTAGAGGGTATCATAGAGCAGAGCCTTTTGCTCCTACATCTCCAATCTGATTATTTGAAACCTCTCTTTGCCCACCCTCTCTATAAACTCACCCAAGGGTCAAACTCACCCAACAAACCCACCCAAGGGCCAAAAATTTATCGACAATATCCCACTCAGCAGCCGAGTGGTCGAGGAAGTGAAGAAGGGGAAAAGAATGGCGGATGAAATTACAACTTTTGGAAACCATTGCATACGATATCCAAGAAGAAATGGAGCGCTCCCGGCCTGATAGCAGCGGCGATTTATAGAGGCAGGTTAATCCCTATACCTGCCAAGAAAAATATGGTTTCATAAACAAGCGGCGGAAGTTTCCCGGGGCGGCCGAGTGGAAGTGGTTTATCTTTTTTATTATTATTATAATTAGTTGTTTGAATTTAGTATCAACAGTTCGAGATATTGTAGATATTATTGATAGACACGTCAAATGGTCTATCAATGGGACAATTTATGGGTGGCGATGTTCATCTTGTTCTTTTCGTTATTTCTTTTACTGTTCCAGTAGATCATTCTTCTATTTCTTATTCATGTATTTCTTTCCAATATTGATTGGCACTTCAAACTTAATCACATACTGTCAATAAAGATTTCAATCTTTGGTATTTAATCTATTAGTCCCAAATTTCGAACTAAGATGAGAAATTCAGTCACATATGTTGCAGCTGGGTGTTCATAAATGAATTTTCTCGAAACTAAACGATATAACCTAAGTCTCCTACCGGGGCAGTTTGACGATTAATATAGAATGGCTGGGTACTTCTGTTGTACACTTGTAATAACTGGAAACAAACCAACTTGGATACAACTGAAACAGTCGTGCTCGATCACAACCGCATGCGTCTTATCATATATGGGTCTTTTCACAGCCTCTTAATCGTTTCGGCAGTTTCTACATGCTATAGAATAAAATGATAGTTACTATCAGAAATCACATTTGAGTTGATCAGATGTGTCAGGTGTAGGATTATTAACTTACATGTAAAGTTTTCCATTCTTCCCAGACTTGTCAGATTATGCAGTAGATGAGAAGATAAACCCGAATTTATGTTCGTGGAAAAAACTTGGTGCTTCGGTCATTCCCTTAATAATTAAATACTGTATATAGTCTTGTCTGATCCGTGCCTTCTAAGCGCATATGAACGCTCCAATCTAATCTTCCATACCTTCACTTCTTGTAACTGGCGCTTTCGATTACAAGGGACATCATATCGTTCATTGTATTCTGCGTGATCGATGACCGAGTAAAGTATCCCATTTATATAATAAAGTGCTGTTCGAATATGTCCTCTCCCGTCAGCCTGACCAATTGTGCTGCTTGGTATTAATGGTGGCATTTTAAGTAAAATACAGCCTTTTTGTTCATCAAGCACTTACCATCTCGCTTTCCCGTTGATATTCTCGATGCCAGACAACAATGCGCTAATTGAGACTATTATCGTTGTTAGCAATGATATCTAATCTCCATTTGCAATCGCCTATTTCCGATGGAATAGACTGGTTCAACACTAACCGGAAGAAACGCTCCGCCTGCTAATTGTCATTCTCAAGTTATGATTCCACCTCCTAGGGCGTATGGTAGCTCTGTGTCTGCAATAAATTAAGTTTTCCTTAAGTATCCATCATCCGAGTCTATCCTCACAAATTTCATATCCAAGTTTCTTCCCTTCTGGATGTTCCGATGCTAAAACAATAACTCTTACCACGATACAATTTGTTGTTACAAGCGCACATCAGCCACTCCTCTACGATATCTCTACTTGTAAAGCGAAGCCTGATAAGAAAAAGTAATCCTGACGATACATAATACAATATTCGAATAAGGATTCACGGGTGATTGCAATTGTAATTGTAAATCGGAACCAAAGTTTTAACGTATCCACTCAATTAAACCCCACATAGAAAACAGAAGCAATGGCTCACGTTTTTATAGTCCTTCCGTTGTATATGCAGGAAGAATGCACGCGACACTTTAACATCGACAGTGCTTTAACAAGTGTCCCATATTTGTGGATTGATTCTCCAATGAGGATGGAGCTCAGCATGATCCCTAAATTTGGTTATTACTAGTGTAACGACAATTTATCACCCTATTTCATCATATTCATATGTTAATATCGCTCCCAGTTTTCCTACCAACCCAATGCTATTAGAATGGCAACTATCGACTCCTACATTCGATGAAAATCACTCGAATTTTCAAACAGTAAAACAATCCTTTCTAGCATCTCCTGATGATGCATACCCATATAGCGGGTTTTACGAATTTAAGAAAGCAGCTTGCTATGTGTCAGGTATATATATATCCGCATCGTTAAAATAAATTGCATCCTTGATTTAACAAACCGTTTTTCGTTCAGGAGATACTAATGGTCCCATAACCTCAACAGCTTGTAGAGAAACTGTTGACTTATAAACAAGAACTCGCCAACCTCCCAAATGCTATGTTGATGCTTTCTTCTGCCGCATTGCTAATTTCTCGCTGGTTTCTTGAAAACTACGCCGCGATTAAACAAGACAGTATTGGGACTTTCTCTCTAAACCTTCAAACATCGAAGTGTTAAAGGCCTTTGTGAGACTTCGATCTCAAGGGGATAAAAATCTAGAAGACAAGCATCATGCCCTTTTTCCTCTTCAGAAAAGAATCGATGAAGCTTGAGAGAAATTTTAGACTGCCGTGGGAGAAGCTCAGCAGATTGAGAGAATAATGGAGACTTTTGCAACAGCTTATTCTGCTTCGGGCCACGTACGTTGATGATCAATATGCGGTTATTTATCATGTTATCTACACGTCACTTGTATTGTTGTGGCTGTCATATACAAAGCGGCGGATGAGAGACCAAGGCGTCATTCTATTTGATGGTAGATTGATAGATAATAACCTGGCGATCTCTATTAAGGTAAAGTATTCGATGATTGCAAAGTCATTTCGATCAACATGTTAAAGATGTATTATACTGTATTAGATTTCCGAAGGCGGAGTCAATGAAAGAAAGATGTCCTAATAGACGCGGTTTTTATCCGGACCGAACCGCATTCACAGAGAATCAAGGTTAAACTGACTATACAAAAGGAAATCCATGCATCGACTGCATTACACCAAGCGTTCGAAATAGAGTATATTGTCAGTAACCAGCAGTGTGGTGATTGCACGAAAGTATGACAATTTTGTGATAATAGTCCGTACGACCTTACTAATGTCTCGATTATTAAAGGTAAGAATTAGTTGTCTTAATCACTGGATATCCATTATATAATGGAAGATAGATCTTGCCTACCAAGTTTTAACATATTCACTCGAAAATTTTCTTTAATTCGCCTTTTATTATTTCTATTTCTAATAACCCCGGATATGGCCCTTGCTCAGGGCGTTTCCGATTAGCAGGCTTTGCAAATGTGTTTATTTGCTATTTAATAGAAGAATGGCAGTGAAATACCGTCTGATATTAGTCACCAAAGGAATAAGTAGATTAATCTTGGGATGGGCTCTGTTCATGTTAAGAGCAAGTCCAGGCGGAAAGTCAACGCCGGGAAAAACGCCAGATTTTTTACCTCTCAAGTCTCAATAAGTCACGTCTTACGTTCCCGGAAATAGCAGACAGTCTCGTTGCGGATAAGGAAATTGAAATGGAAGATCGTCGCGATATTTGGAAAGTGTACATCACTATATCTGGCTATAATTTAAAATGACCTTTCGCTGTTCGCATGTTAAACCGCTAAGACTATTCGAAATCTACCGACGTAACTATGTCACGAGCTATGAAGAAAACAGGCCGATTTATCGAAGACTCGACAGACAAATCTCACAAAGGTGGAGGGGTAGATATATAGGAGTGGTGAGTATAGTTCACATATTGCTCCTTGCATTATTTGCCCTCATTCACTAAAAGTCATTTTCTCGTTGAATGTTACAACTCGAAGTTGGCTCGGCCATCGTAACGTTATATCAAAGTATTGTAAAACCGTCTGTAGGGGGGGGGGGGGTGATAAAGTCGTTCAGGTTTGCATCAACGAACACTTGTCTATTTCACTCGTAGGCACTTGCATCATAGAATTAATATATGTTATTATTTTTTTTGTAGAAAATTCACAGAACATGGTTCGAATTTGTACCATTCGACCTGTCCTCAGTTGGTATTTGAAACCGTACATGCAGAACTGGTTTTATTGTAGACAGGTAATTATTTGATTACTCGTGGCTTACATAATTTGGCACGCTTATACATTAACTTCTATTTGTTTCAGGCGAGCAGTAACTAAAGTCGAGCGAAGCTCGAGCTGATGCTTCCACCTCTTTTTCAAACCGTTCTTTCAATCGGTCTCAGAGACTTCTGTAAAGTGCTTCAGACAACAAAAGGGAAAGGGCTTGAGAACGTTTGCCAATTCGTATCTCGTGCTTTTCTGACAAAACTTTCCTCCGGTTGCTTCAACAATTGAGGCAGATTGAGAGGTTTTGACCAACGATTAGGTTTAAAGGTCTATTACGTATATGAAATAAGTTTCCAGACGGAACTTGTGCATACTACGTTTTGGGTGATTTAGTCTAAACTTTATTACGTCGTTGTCCGTGTCGATTTCAATTGAAAGCCTATCAGGCATTTGCAAATTGTAATATGTAATTGTTGTCTAATGTCGGGCAGTGTAAGCCCTTATTGTTAGTGCAAACGCGTTTTGCAATTGATATTGTGTGCGTGATGCTTTTTATTCTGCTGCATAAAAGTAAGATCACGCAAGTGGAGTTGGCTCACCCGAGATTAATGGAAGTACGTGTGAGATATTAATATGTACCCGTCCTGCCATTCCGCTCCGACGAGGTAATAGTAAATTAAATGTGAATCACTTGATTATTTGCTAACAGTTTATTATATATATGCTCTGAACATTCAATTACTGTGAACATGAAGAACTCAAAGAAATAATCCCCAAGTCTCCCGACACATATTGAAAGACAGTAGCAGTAATTGATAATTAATAAATCATTATAAGGTTATATTGTCGTATTTAGACGACCGATTACAGGATTTAGGAAATGTGCCCAAGCTAACTAAATTCCTAACGGAACCTTTGTTAACTATATTATTCCCACCAGTGCTGTAACTTGATTGTATTTGAAGACTCAAACAGCTAAAAAAGGAATCCGATTCTAAAGCTTGTATAATATTCTTTGCGGTTGAGAAACACTATCCCTCTTAGTTTCAACGTTGTTATCTCATTTGGTTCCATCTCTAACATAATATATTGTTAGCGTAACTGCACTATCTGGTTCAATGTTTAATGATGCATTTAGATCATATAACGATCATCATGATTGCTGTAAACTTTCCCCCTTAACCTCAGCGCAATGGCAGTTTAATTGTCAAATGAAGTAGATCTCTTGTCATTGGATCGGGAGTGGGGGTAAACCATAATTTATCGGCAGATAATATAATGGTTCGTTATAATAATAACCGATTGAGGTCGTTTAGAGCATCGCCGTATTGTTAATATTGTCGAAGGCAGAATTCGCTGCCATTTTCGCTCTTAACAAGATAGTACTGTACTTATTATTGATCGAGGAGACTTTGGGATTGATATTGCGACTGTGGCCGTGTTTGAAAGCTGTGTTTGATGCTGCACGCGTTTGTATTTGATGCTGTTGAGCTTGAAGCTGCTGCATCTGCGTTGTGTTTTGTTTGTGTATGTTGCGTTGGGCAAACATCTTCTCGGTTTTTGTGATAATTAATATGACTTATGTTTGCTTTGAGTAGAGCAGTTTAAGTTGGTGTGTTTCTAACTCTTTAATTTACGCGAAATTCATAGGAAGACTTCTCTATGATTGGCTGAAATCAACAATGGGAAAATCCAAAAAGGGCACTTTTAAATTCTCTCTTTGACCGAACTAGCTCTTCGAATAAATCCCGATGGTCATAACAATTAACACTATCAACGATTCTGTCTGAATCATCCGAAGGTGTTTCAGTTCACAGTCTAACGATATGCATTTCGACAAGTAAGAATTAATCCCGATGCTGTTAGCATTGATTGTGACATCGGAAAATCGAATACATTCCTCTTTGAATTAGCAATATACTGAATATGTTTCAGATAACAAAGAAAGCAGCACAGAAACACCAGTTGCTTAGATGAATTGCAAGTTTATTAATAAACCCAGTTAATCAAGCGACATTTATCTTCAGACTCACATTGCAGATTTCTTCAACTATATAATAAGGCTATATTTTCCTGATTAATTCTCTTGTAAGAGCCTTAATGATTGTTCCAACATATCTAGCATACCTAGAAAAGACAATACTGTACTTCCTCTTTCTTGGTATCTATTTCTCCACTCCTCCTCCTTCATACCTGCGTCATTTTAATGCATGTTATATAATAGTGTGTCGAATCTGTTGGTTAACACTGCGTTTAACAGTTAGGGCACATAGTCTCAACTTTCCTTGAATGTTCAGAGAGTGTTATTTTCTATATGCCTTTGCTTTTTTGGTTAGCTAACGGTTTAAGGAAGCGAATAGTAAATTTGGATTGTTTTTTTCATTGCGTAAATGTTATTTTCCGAAAACTACTTTTAAATAATGCCCCTTTTAAATAGATTTACGACAGCCAATCATAGGGAAGTCCCGAAATAGTTCAGCAAATTCACATGCACAAAAGCACAGAAAATCAGGGTCCAACCCATGTGAAAAGCTGTATAACACGTGTTAACGACTGCATTTTGTTTTAATTTTTGTTACACGTTTATTAACTTTATGTTCAACACACAATGATTAATCAACGTTATATGACAATAACCTCTTTGTGGGAGGTGGCACGCGTGATGATGACACTTTGCACAAATTAACTTCTGTTCCACTTTCCACTGTATACAAATATATCAAAAAAACTTAAAAATAATATTTCTTTAAACCCTCTGCTCCGATCTAGCAGGCCAAGAAAGTTTTCCCCTAACAGCGTCGGCATCTTGGCCAGCTTGTCTCAGCAAACAAATACTCTACGAGCACTGAACTCTCGAATACTTTAAATGATCATCATCCTAACTTAAATGTTAGTAGTCGGACAGTACTCAATAAACTCCATAACCTCCAATATCACCACAGTTCCAAAATCCATTCCTCTTCTTACAACCACTCATAAACAAAAAATCGAGTGGCATTTGCCATAAAATACAAGAAACAAAATTGGAACAAGGTCATATTTTCTGATGAAACTACGTTCCAGATGTTTCGAAATACTCAAAAAGTATTTTACAAAAATGGCACTCAGCCTCCAAGTAAGGCCATGGTAAAACACCCCCATAAAGTTCACGCATGGGGTGCCTTCTCAGTAAAAGGTCCTGTTGGCTTTTTTCTTTTCACAGATATTATGGACGGTACTCTTCATCATAAGATTTTAACTGAAAATCTTTTTGATAATGCAAATGCTATTATGGAAAACAATTGGATGTTCCAACAAGATAATGATCCGAAGCATAAAGCTAAGGAAACCGTGGAACTCCTCATGCAGCGATGCCCAAAAATTATGGATTGGCCGTCTAATAGTCCAGATATTAAAATTTATGGGCAAGTTTAAAGAATTGTGTAGATAAACAAGTCAGTAAAAAAAAAAGCAATCACCAAAGATCCTTTTCGTGAGATAATTCAGAAAGAATGGAATTGGGTCGAAACTGAGACCTTTTGTTAATTTGGCTCGTAGAAGATTGGAGGAAATAATTGCAAGGAATGGTAATAAGATAAACTATTAAGCGGTCTTAAGTATCATATCATAGGCAGTATACCTGCAAATTTTTGTATATTTTAACCCGTTTTCGTTGTACTATAAATAAAAATGTCATTCTCATTACTTTTTTCGCGCACTGTATCTGCTCCATTATTACGGTGATCGATATATAAATATAGTTGCAATATATATCCAACGAAAAAATCTATTTCGGCCACAACCCCAGAAGTTCCTCATCTATCATTATCACTTTATTGTGTTATTTAATTCGTGGACAACCTCCTTGAAGGGCGTTTACAATCAAGAGGCACTATTACATCCGTCGAATCGATTGAAATGAGATAACCTCAATAGTGATAATAAAATCGTTTAATTGGGATTCTTCTTTAAAAATGCCGTCTTTTATCTCTCTTTATGTCTCTGTATCCCTGCATTCACCAAAGCAACTTAATGCTTCCTGAATCAATATTACAATCTCGGACGCTTTGAGAAAATCAGCGCATCAAGAATATGTAGCAGCGAGCGCGCAATTAGTCATTATCAACGAGGTGTAGGCAGGGGCAGAAATGTCCAGAAAGCGGCTGATCAAGAGTACCTATAGGCAGCGCGATGTTATAGAAGTGGAACCAGAGTGTGAGAAAGCGATCAGAAATCAGTAGAACAGGGGAACATCAGTACTTAATCAGATGCCGCGATATTATTTGGTCAATGGTTCTTCCAAAGTCTCGTGTAAGCTCATCCTATAAGATACCATCCAATAATATACATCGCCAGTAAAGATCTCCGTGTCGTGTCTAATCTCTGCATACACAACTCGGGCACAAGCATTGTTGATTATATTATGTACCGGAAATTGGAAGGTTGGCTCCTTGATAGGTTTTGTGGCGGCCAGAGGACAATTGTCAGGCAACCGCGTCTTATCATAGCTCGGGTCTGTTCACATCTCTTAATTGTTTCGGCAGCTTCTACATGTTATAGAACCAAATCATAGTTACTATCAGAAATGACATTTGAGTTAGTCTAGTATTATTGACTTCTTTTATATGTGAAGTTTTCTTTATCTTAGCTGCATACGTAATTGGACTTTAATTTACACACCTAGTTCCGTATTCCACAATTATTGTCTCGTTCCAATTCAATTCAGGCTAAACCCTTCTTTTCGATTCCATCATTCTTTTCGGACTTGTCAGATCATGCAGTAGATGACAAGATAAACCCAAATTGTGCCCATAGAAAGAACTTGGTGCTTCAGTCATTTCCTTTATACAAAGTTTGGTAATGCAGGCAAAATTAAATACATCGTCTTTCCTGATTCAAACACATATGTTCGTTTTACATTGCATCAATGTGATCTTCCACACACCTTCATTTCTCTTATCGCCTTGCTTCTCGATTACAAAGGACATCGTTCATTGCATTCCGCGTGATCGACGATCGAGAAAATATCTCCACTTATATATACAGTGCTGTCGAATACGTCTATCAGTTTTAAATAATTTTGCAGCTTAATGATAGCTTTTTTGTTCATCAAGCACTTCTGCACTTACCATCGTTGAATCATTCTCGGCGCCCAAGGTAATGTGCTAATCTCATGTGGTTGTGAATATTTTGTCTTATCCAAAAAAAGCGCACCGCCTGCTAATTGACATTCCCAAGTTATTCTTCCATCTACTAGTACGCCTAATTACGACAACTCTATATGTGGAATAACTTACTTGCGGCAGTTTGCCCGAGAATCCCGTCATCCTCACAAAATTCTTGATGATTATTCGTATTGCTGGATGAAATCTTGGTCGAACCCTCCGCATAGATCAAACCATGCGGGTCTTTCGATCGGCAGGTTGAAATAAATCTTCTGGAGACTTATGATTTCGAAAAGCCATGAAAGGGACGAATATTTAGAGACGACACGGCTACTAAAGTCCAACATAATAAATATTATAAATGCATGAAGCCCAAGCGTACATATGATCAATAATACAATGATGCTTACATTGATTAAATTATAGTCATCACGTCTTTGTGATTAATCTACATCTGTTGATAGTCGGTTCCATTCTCTTCTGAGGATGCTGGTGTTACTTCTACTGACTCGTAGTCATCGGTCATTTTTATCTCCTCTTCTTGTTCTTCTTTATCATCGTCCTCCTCTTCCTCTCGCTCTCGTCCTCATTCTCACTTAATAGAATTATAACGCAGTACTAAAACACGTATAATAAGCATATGTTAAACTTCACAACAATATCTAATCCTTGTACTTACCCTCTGCCTCTTCGTTCTCTTCTTCGTTGTCTTCCTCAGTCTCTTCTTCAGTTTCCTCTTTGCTCTTAGTAGAATCGTAGAAATTATCTAAAGCCTTTTCATAGCGAATATTCGGTCATATGAATCAACCTATGGGAGAAAAGGGCTCGTTTAAATAGAACAAAAATGAACGTAAAGTTTCTGGATATACATATTCCATTTATATACCGACGGATCAGATTTTTTGATAGGCCAGTCGGGCAGCGGTTCGTACCGGGCAAGCGTGTGCTTACATGACCCTATTGGTAAGATAAGACCGTTAAAACGTACTCGATTACAAAATTGGTCAGTATATTTACGATATCATCGTATCAGAACATACCCATGCTTAGACTGCTGTGGGTGCCTCCTTGTCACAATCTAATCGTCTTCATCCGTTCAGTCAATATTCCCACACTTTTCGGGTGCAAAGTAGTAAACATTTTCGACCACTAATGGAACACCTTTGATAGAATGCAAATTCATATTTAACCCATAAGCGTATAGCGATAAGAAAAGGTAAATCCTAATGATCATTTTGCGGATGATTGCAATTGTATCTGTTATTATAGCAAAACCGGAACCAAACTTTTATTGTATAACCCTTTTTGAAGCCCCCTACATAAAACACAGAATTAATTTAATGGCTCACGTTTTATAGCCCTTCAGTTGTGCATGTACGTGGAGAATAAGCGGAGCAGAAAGAATGCGACGCGCGACATCTAGATGAAACGACTTTTACGCTTTCACACGTGATCCATTATTTTTCTAGTGCAACCCAATTTTGATTATTATTATTATTATGGGGATAAATGCACAATCAATTTGCCTAATATTGTGAATACCTTAACTGAGGGTTGTGGTAGATTGTCGAAACGCTAGCAAATTTGAAACATTTATTATTATCTAGTATTACAAGAATCCCACTCGGAAAATCCCAATAACACGTCTCAAAATTAATCTTCTTAAATTGCTTTTAGAACATTAAAGCCACACTATGTCATAAATTTATGAACCACAGTCTCAAATCAAATTTACTATAATAAGATTTTACGTTATTAATGTTAGTACGTTATGCGAAATGGACAAGACAGTTGCGAACATTCCTGGTGTCCCCTTCTTCATCCTCCACGAGACGTACATATCCTTTGTCTTTATCAGCATATTCTTCTGTAGTTTTAAGAGGAAACAATTCAAAAAGGCAATGACTCCAGAGAACATACACTTGTAATGAGTATGGGGAATACATTTTTATCAATTCACGTGCCATCTATTACCCAATGAGAACTCAACCCGTAAATATAAACAGTTACTAAATTATTTAATATTAATACATTTACTCCGAGTTGGAAATTAAGCAAATTGTTTTCGGTATTTCTCTTAATGAACATTCCCGTTAATATTGATAAACGTTGTCATTTCAACACAGGTTAGTTGCAGGGGTAGTAGTGACTATGCTGTTATTAATTGCTAATGTATATATGCATTCATGCACATTATCACTTAAATATTTGTTGAGAAGTGTTTAGCACTTTCAATTACCATACATATTCACAAAAATACCAGTATCTTATTGTACTTGTTGGTGAATATGGCTGAAAAGAACTAACTGAATTTGAGCAGAGTCATTATTGGCGGGTGGTTGTTTGGACACTCAGAACGGGAAATTGAGGAAAAAACTGCCCATCCAAAGACAACTGTTCATTGTACTATTGAAAAATATTGTGAAACTGGTACAACAGCTCTCTTCTGCACAGCAGAAGACCACCAGTCTTGATAAGTGTCACCTTGAAATAATTGTTTGATCCCAATCATTGACAGACTACAAGACAAGTTCATCAACAACCGTTTACATAAAGGCTAAAGGCTATGCAACTAAATATTGGTGAATATTGTAATTGGTTTTCACTTTCAATTATGTGTTGAATGGATTTTTTTTTTATTAGCAATTTTACTAAATTTTTATATATTATATTTAAATTAAGCTATTCACGAAAAGTTTTTGTAGTGCCTTTTATGCTCTTTTTGGGACAATTCTAAATGTTTATATTGCAAATTCTATTCTCTATTTTTGGTAACATGCTCTAAGTGAGCTTAGCATTCTACTATTCAATCTATGATGATAATTTGCAGAAACATTAGCTATAACCTGCGCCAACGTTGGTATAAATTCCATGGCTATAGGACATCTCGGTTGTGAATTTATTCATGATTAATAAAAATTGGAGGGGTGGTCCGTGACTTTTGAGACGGCACTGCCATTATTAACCTCACTACCTTCATTCCTAATATTAACAGATATTTTGCTTTACAACGAGCAGTCGTTAAAAGAAGGAAAATATTTGAACAAACTTTGTTTTATAATATTGTTGACACCAACAGATGTTGTGATCCCCATGAATGTAACTGATATCAAAACGTTAATAGTTCATCCGATCCGTTCAATTATAGCCATCTTTGGCTCCGGTTCGTTTAAACATCGACCCTGTCGAAAACAAAGTAGAAAATCCCGATCAAAAGATGGAAATCTAGATAAGAAAACGATGCAACATGATAGTTTCCCTTACGGGAACCCAATTGACTATGAAAAAAGAGAAGCACACACGCTAGGTGAGATTATTTGCGTATCATAACTGACAACTCAAAACTTCCCAGCAGAGCTACCACGCATATTACTGTATTAATGAAACAAGTCTGAAAAATGTTGAGGATATTCTATGAGGCTTACAGTTGAACCTCGTTATACCGAAGTGTCGGGGGAGGCAAAGTATTCAATGCCATTATTGCATCCATGATTCGGTATAACGAGACATTCGGTATAGTGAGGTACCTCTATATAACGAAGTTAGGCCTAGGTCAAAAATGCTGGCACACAACTAAAATCATACTATTACTGTCAAAATCGTATGATCCTCATCTTAATCTGCTACAACAAATCGTGACAAACTTCGGTATAAAGCGATATAGTAGCCCATGTAAAAATCCTGCATCGGGATTCCTTCGGTATAACGAGGTTCGACTGCACATCTCTTCGTGTCTCATCTCCTGCTAAGACCTGACTTCCAAACTACGAATACTCGCGCAAAAGCTAGTTGTGTCACCGACACTCGCGAGGGAGCGTGGCACAGTAACCAAGGTTGTTTAATCACGTGATGAGATTGATCATTTGTATATCATGTCCGATCCGCGTCTTTCCTCTCCCCAAATTCAGAAAATGTCAAAATCTCCATCTTCCTCCTCCAAGACGCGCTCATCTTCTTCCAAGTCGCGTTCATCATCATCTTCTTCCAAGTCGCGTTCATCATCATCCTCTTCCAAGTCGCGTTCTTCCTCTTCCAAGTCGCGTTCTTCTTCTTCCAAGACGTTATTAGACGAATGTATTGAACAATTAACACAAAGGTGTTCCGAGGAATGGAATAAATTGAGTGAAGTGAGTAGGCTGGAAAGTTGTTCATAGTTCAAGAGCTGCATTCACAATTTCTAATCACATAAATAGCTGCAGAAGCGCGCGGCAGAATGCAAACAAGTTGATAAATCGAATACGGAAAAGGTAAGCTGGCTGGTAGAACTGGATTTTGTATTTGGCTATTGATTGATTTTGAACCCCTAATGATTGATCGTAATCTATTTACTATGATTTAGAGATTGGCAAATCTAAGAGCTGAAGAACAAAGGTTGATATTTGAATTGGAGATTGCTGAGAAAGGTTAGTTATTCACAAATTTAAGTAGGAGTAAATTTACTTGTCAATTACGTTAATGGGGATAGGATAGCAGCCAACTTTCATTAGGATGTGTTTCTCTTCTATAGATGCAAAGGAACCAAATAGATATTCTCAAGTAATAAGTCAAATAATGATCAAAAAGCAACTCTATGACAATATCCAACAGTATAAGCAAGCCCTACCCCAATTGCGTGAACAATTACAAGAGACAAAGGAACAGCTGAAAAGGTCAATACAAAATTGAATTTATCAGTGAGAATAAATATTTGGTTTTGAACCCAGATATTAATATTGGTGTTTATGCACAATAATGTATTGATTAGAGATCAGGAAACCCTAGCTGAGAATGAAGCAATAAATGTAATGTTGAGGGGAAAACTTGACAGTCTAAAAGGATGGTATGAAAATCCTCTTGAAGCAGAGGCTGCTAAATTGGAGTATGTTGGCATTGTATAACTTTGATCTTGTTATGTGCTGAAGTTTTATCCATTTAACTGGATTGTTTCTTAACCAGAAAACTGAGAAGTCAGCTAAACATAGCAAACGAAGACATAACTATCTTGATGGAAGAATTGATTGCATTTTTGGATACGCATTTTCCTCCTGCTACAGTTAAGGTGAGATAATAATAAGTGATAAATGTTATTGCAATTGCTGAGAAGACCAGTGAAATCAAAGTTATGTTGTTTTTTAGAAACATGGCAGTGATGATCAAGTTATTACTGCATCACTAAAAGAAGTGCTTGAGGTAACTGTTGACTATCAATAATTTTTTATTTCTGTCTTCCAAACATCTTAAGCTATCTACCTGATGCCATAACACACTCAATTAACACTTTTCTCTTGTCTGCTAATATTCAAAACAAGGAATTTATGAACAAATCATTCTCAGACCCTGAACTATATATCCAATTTGATGCTGAACATGTCTGGTTACCACATATTGAATTACTTATTCGTGCTGGTATTGCAAAACAACATCCAGAAGATGCTTACAAAATTAGGCTTATCAATTTTCATTCATAGTGTAAAGAGGGTGACTGAATATGAAATAAAGAAGAAACTATGAAATATGATGTTTAATAGATGGGAGAACATTTGTCAATTTTAATGTTTTTGTATATCAGAGATTAAGATTGTTGAGCACTAAATCATGCAATTAATTAAATTCCATCAATTTCATTGAATCTGTAATAATGATTTATTAAGAAGCTACACATACAATTGTATGTAGAAATGAATAGGTCAGATTAGAATTATTATTATAGCATGACATATGAATATAGTTTGCATTCTACTTCAATCTTGTCTAATCACTGTGTCAAGTTCTTGGACATGTCTTACATATCACAGTATTTATCTAACTGTACAAGAGACACATCCATTGATGAGTGTTTAGTTACATATTATAAGCCATGATTTCAAATGCCATGGTTATGGTAGAACTAGTTTGATAGCATTCAATCTTGTTAGTATACTCAGCTTCCTCAGAGCCAATGCATTGATAAAAAACATAATAATAAACAATCCAATTATCAATCAAAGAACTTTCACATACCCTGCATCAATGTACATGCAGAATGCTTCACCACCACAATAATAATGGCTTGTGTATAAAAAATGTTTGCCATTTCCCTCCAACAATAGCTATTCTGCTAAATTAATATGGAATTTGTCTGCTACCATAAACAATGAATTCTACTCTATTTTATAGAATTTCTGCTGGACTGCTGGATCTTGATGCCAATATTTGATATATAGCCTCACACACTTGGTTTTTTAAGGTATGTTGTTACTCTTAATGTCTTTAGTATTATTGTTTTGTTAGATGTAGTAGTAGATCACCATGGGAGAATTTTAGTTCATGTCCTCAATTCGAAAGCTTTCTCTTACCTATTATTATTAGATGTATGGTAGACTGAAATTCAACATGATTATACATAAAAGTGTGTTTTTCATGTATACACAACTATAACCAATTATTTCTTCTCCATAGAAAACTACGATTAAGTTGCAAAATCTAACCCAATCTATTTTAATATATTAGACCAACCTCATCGAACTTAATAACGCAAATGAGGGATCCCTTAAAACGCGTCCCTTCTTTATTAATGTACATACTATAAAAATAATCATTAGCTATGTTCTAATAATATTTCTATTCTTAACTGTAGATATTGGACATTATAGTTTTGTGCAAATTAGCAATGGTATGTATAAAGATCCGCCCTTCAAAAGTAGCGAAACTACACGTAATAATGAATTCTTATTCTCACTCGGTACTGGTCATGGGACATGCATAGGATTGGGTGTTTCAATGATAGCTATTCTGTAATAGTAAGATGTCATTTACTGAAGTTTACATGCTTGCTCATAATTATGAGTATACACTTCTGGGTTGCATTGTCATCTGTTTGAAAGTTTTGTCAGTCAATCGCTGCTGCTGAAGCTGAAACTAACCAATGAAATATCATGGTTTCATCAGCTCCCACAATTAATAAACAACACCAATTTAATAAAAAAGGAAATTAATTTTTAATTCCGAATTTGAATCTCAAAAGTTGTAGTTGTCTCAATAATTCATTCAGAATTGCTTTTGATTATTACATGTGCTCAAAATTTATTAAAGGTTTTTTTCTTCAAAATATCTACTGCCATGTATGCTGTGCAAGTGAAAATGGTTTCTCACTTGACCCGTGTAATTATTCTTGGCGCTTTGAGTAAGTAGCAGATACGACATTTTCCCCTTTGCTTAGACTTTGAAGATCAATCCATCGGATGCCTTATTGAAGATGGATTTAGATCATACCAATGCGGAGCGTAGATGATATTATGGGAGTTATCAGACTGGAGGTGGCTAGATATGGAAATGGAAAAGAAAGGAACGAAACAATGAATACGATATAAATAATACGAATGAAATTTTGTTGGTATGAGTGAGCGAGCTATATATTTACGTTTCTCGTTTTTAACACGACCCATCACCAGACATAATCAGTAGCAATACACGACCCGTACCCGTTATTCTCCCTTTACATACTAATACCTCATTCGGCAGAGGTTCAACGAAAACCAAATAACTCTCTTATATTAACAACAGCAAATAAAACTCCACTGTTTGTGAAGTAAAAGGATCGGATTTTTTGTTTTTGATCTTTTGTGAAGTAAAAGGATCGGATTTTTTGTTGACTTCAATTTCTGTTTAGCATTAGGATTACATATTAATATTAATATGGGGGGGGGTTTCCCAAATAAGCACAGATCTGCGTGAGAATGTTCTGATAACCGTGCAGGCTCAAACACTATCCCTTAATTGAACATTCAGATGGGCTTGCTCCTCCATAAATAGACTTTACGACGTGCGACCTGGGCAGGTAAATTCCTGATAATACATTTCTGCACGTTGAATACACAGTTCGTATATGAAGTCTCCCCAATGTTCATTCCAAGAATATCATATTGTTCCTATATACTTATACAATCTCATAGCAATACGCCCATCAACGTCCATTCAAGAAGCGCCACGACTTTTGAAATTCCATCATTTGCTATTTTTATAACGCGTACGAGATACAGAAAATGGAAATAAACCTTGAAGGTGAATGCAGGTGTTCTAAAGCTCACGTCGAAATTTATTATTTTTCACATTTGTGATTCAATTCACATTTTTGATAATAATAACTGTTCTTCGCATTGCCTATCACCGTGTCTAACTTCCATCTCCTCCACATCCATTAAAATCTCCTATCTCGTTTGATTATTGCTGGTCATTTAAACATTGACATTAAGCAGTTCTTTCCCTCATGAAGATATACTTAATCCTTCCCTTCTCTCTAACCAAAAGAGATAGACGCCCCTGAAGGTATGTCCCGGTCGGTTGAGAAATTCACAGTATTTTCTCGAGCTTTGTAAAAATGTAGATAGAATATCGTCGCCGATAGCGGTGGTTGGTACTCTTGTTACAGCGAAACAGGTCCGACTAATGTTAGACATATTTAATATAGCTGAAATTTAATAGAATAAGGAGAGGAAGAAGGGGAAGAAGGAAAGAAGATGAATGATGAGGACGGTTGGTGATGGTGACGATGTGCGATGCAGTAGGAGCATGGGTAGAGGAGATGTTTGATAAAAACACGGACGGAAAACGAAACTATTACTATGGTTTCGTCGCACATTTCCGTCGGGGCATGACGCTGTACCAGCCGATACGAAATATAAGAGTACGGTTCGCATGGACAATTTTATGGCGCGTCATAACTTGGCCGTATGATGGCACCGGGTGTAGAATAACGGAAACCAATGGTTTCTACATTTTTCAATGTCTAATTGCATCATCGAGTGAAGAACGGGCGGCTGTATCATCGAAGACCTTATTAAAAGGGTGGACCGGAAGAGACAGAACAAGGAGTGGAAGGGAAGTTTGGTTGATATATAGACTTTGATGGTTCTGCTGGTGCGTGTTGATACGATATGTAGGAGGAAGAGTAGAAGGATAGTTAACGAAACCGGGTGAAAACAGAAGGAACACTTAGAAACGTGATTTCCGCCGGCAATTATGTGGGAAATATAGTTATTATATTGAGATGAGAACTTTGTATGAGATGATTTGGAATGAGCGAGAAGTTCCGGGGTAAGAGAGAAGACATATCAATTTGCACTGGCTTGGTTAGTGTGATGGTGGGAATAATGGCCATGTATCAATCAAAGACTTTGATAAGAGGGTGGGCTGTAAGAGACAGAACAAGTTCTAGTAAAGGAGTGGAAGGAAAGTTGGACTAATATATAGACTTTGGTGCGTAGAAGGACGGTTAGAGAAAACAGGGTGAAAAAACAAGAGGAGCACTTGGAAATATCAGAATTGTCTTCCATTTCGATTTCCTTATCCGCACGGATTCCCCACAAGCAAGAATCAGTAATTAGATCCGCAACAATAAAATGGCGATATTTACAGTATCATCCAACGTGAGCACGCGTCACTGGCATAGAGATATCACTGTAATATTGATACATTTGTGTTGTATTAGTGTTTTTAGATCACCATGACTTTGGATACGCATCTCAGACTAGCGGCTCTTGTAGATTTATTTCAACCCGAAATATGACTGTTTACATTCCAATGATAAATCGTATTGTTGCTTTCCGTGAATTGGAAGGCGATCTAGGTTCACTGATAATTAAGTTATTTCCATAGAATCCCAAACTCTGAAGGAAAATCTTCATGACAAGACGTTCCATTAGGTCAAACGTAAAAATCGGTTTGCAGTGTCTAATAAACATATATGTTAATAAGCAACATAGCATTTATCCGTCATTTGAAATTGATATCTTGTAACTCACCCTCGAGCCTCCTACAAAAACGATAATCATTGTCGTCTCCGTCACTACTAACTTGTGAGCAATACCATGGATATTTCTTGACTGTCAACAACGACTTCCATTTGGTTGATTGAATGTGCTATCCAATTAATACAGTGGTCCAGATTTTCTTCCTTTTCTGAGAATTCACTGTCGTCAGTAGCTTGAAAGGCCTTCCGACATTATCTAGAAACAGATTATACTAGTCAATAATTGACACTACAAATAAATTGTCCAATCTATTATTACTTACCCGTTGGGTATAAATTTGGGTATTCGGTCGAAATTAGACTCCACGTTCTATTAAACACCTCATTAGCTTTCCATACAGAATTATTTGGAGAAGTTCATACTCCATCGGGAGTATGTGTCAAAGCTTTTTTGAATCTAAGTCCCGTTATTGTCGTAAATATCAATAGTGAACTGATCATAGCCGTAGTAAATTAATGATTTCGATCTCATAATAATAATAAATGCTATCCAGCGTTATCATAATTTTCATCCACCAATCAAAAATGAATTACGTCACTAACCAGTCACGTCGATTGTTTATATTAATATCTCACTATTGCTATCTCAACCCACAACCTTTATTTGCGCGGGTGTACACCTTTAGCGTTCAATCGTAGGTGTAACTAATAAAGGAACGCAAACTCCAGGGTATACAGGTACGTTTAGGCGCCTGGAAGAAGAGCTTCGCCTTGGGTTTGATAAATACAATCATACAAACATTGTCAACCTTTCTCCTTCTTTTCAATAGAAAGGGCTTTTTTATTACTTTCGCGGTCTGCCCAATCTCCAGAGAGAAGATAAATGGCTGGCCGTCCTCACGGGAGCAACAAGAGAAGAGAATTCTCAAACATATAATAATTTATTATAGCGTTGCTCCCGTCGCCGGGAAACGACCTTCGTGTCCGCCGGCGGTCATGCGGGAACACGGTTTTGGAATAACGAATATTCCGGTAAGTACCATATAACTTGATACTAATTTTAAAGCTCAATCAATTTTAGTACCAGTCGTGCTTAATATCGCGCATTTATTCACTCTGTAGACCAGTTGGTTCACGCTGAACGTGAACGAGAAAGCGAGGACGGGCGGTGGTGTTGCGTAAGTATTAAACTTGATGATGGACTAGTACGAGCTATTATACGCGAATATTCAGTAACTAATACGCTATATTGTTCTAGATATCCCACACCACCGCATTTCCGTGCTTGAGCAATCAATGCTCAAGATGCACGTACGTCCATCGCCGATGGTGGACGTCACCCCGAACGGTATCATAGCGATGCTATCGGAAATTTGTATGTATGGTTTCTAATAATAATAATAATAATAATAACAATAATAATAATCATTGTCTTAATACGATCTATACCTATTCGCTAACATTATATCGATAAATAATTATTCGCACAGATATCCGATAGGATTGCCGGCTATTAATATTAAGAGGCAATCTGGGGGCCGAGCGGTCAAACTCGCTTTTTTTTTTTTTTGACCCGCTCGGTTTTTTTTAAAAACATTATCATATGTTTCCCCCTTCTTATCATCAGTCTCTTTTTTATTTTAAGTGTTATACATTTATCCCATTTTACGCTGACAGTAGGCGGGATAGATGTATACCGTCCCGCTCCCCCCGCCTTTTATGGTGGGAGAAAATACATATTAATATTGTTTCAATTTTAATTATGATAAATACGATGATACAATGATAAATACGATGATACAATAATAAATTTATTATTATGATCGTATTTAAGCTGATAATAAGCTGCTGTTCAGAAGGGGCTTATGACAAGCTTCATTCTAGAGTGCTTCTTTTCCTGTCTATCTTTTGGGCCTTCGGATAAGAATATGATTTATTCATTATAATAAATACGATGATACAATAATAAATTTCATTCATCAGACGTCATTGAACATTAATTTCATTCCTCATCGAATGTAATCGATGCAATATACGACTGGGAATTAGATGCTGGTACGGGCAGAAGGAGGTGTTCAACTTTAGATAAGATTGTACATGGATCATTCGCTCTTATTCTCCCTATTAGATATGACAGTCATATGCCTAATCTGTATCTGTAGAATGCTCGAGCATGCCAATGAAATTCTGAGCTGTGAACGGTCCAATCCGCATTTATTATAGACATCGCATGATCACGTGTTCTCGCTCGTGTCTTAGGTTATATTGTTCGAATAACAGTCCAAGCCGCAATCTGCATTTATTATCTACTCCCCGTTCTCTCTATAGCTCACGCATCATCAGCGCGAGTCGGTGATCATAAACACGGAGGGATGGGTGTGGAGATATGGCAATGGAAATAGAAATACATCCAAGCCGAATACAATATTTTTCTGATATAGCTCGATCGTCCACCTTTTCAGTATCGCTTCATGTTCTGATGAGTGACACGGAAAACTAGATGTCAAATATCTAGTCAAGGCGAAATTTTGTATGGCAGTTTACTATAGCGCCTATCAAGTGTTCAAAGTTCTTATCATGACTGAACGATCGGATGTGTACTTAACGCTTACATCCACGTACAAAATTGATCAGTCTTTATCTTTTTACTCGATTTTTCACCCTCCAGCACAATCGTCAATCTCCGCGACGTATCCGAAAATTCAAGCTTTATCAAAACATGAATTCCTCAATCGACCGGGACATACCCCAGGGACGTCCATCTCTTGAATACGAAATAAACTGCTGACGGATATAATTGGTTATAGTTAGAGAAAAGTACATGAGTTTTTGCAAACGCTGGGAAACGGTTGATACGATCAACAAGGAAAATTTTAATACCTTCATGAGGAGAACAACTGCGTAATGTCAATCTATAAATGGTGAAACGAACACAGCAATATCTGCAAACGTCTGCAAGAATCAAGGGAGACAGATAGATTGTTAACGGCGGTGGAGGGAGATGGACTTCCAGCATAGATGCACATGATCCAATTTGCGAATGGGATCCCTCTGAGATACATGCCCGAAAATTCTTCAACGTCTCTCGGATAAGTGTCGATTTCTTCATTGCTGCTAGTCCGACTGAACGTTGACCGTTTTGGATCACATTCTTGGCACCAAAACTGCCAGACCAATAACTGGAGAAAATGCGACCACAACCAAAATTCATTGGAATCCGACTTGGGAATTCCTCAAGGTTTTAATTTCGTTTGCCAGTTCAGTATTAAACGTTCAAAGGCCTTCTTTTATTTGCTTCAAGCGCGCATTCCTTCAGTTAATTAAAAGAAAGGTTATCCTACAAGCTGAACTATAATGCATGACGCCAAGAATCGAAGAAAGTACCTCTTTCAAAAATTTTCCATCAACATGGTCAGACGTTTTGGAAAAAGTTTGACGATGACGCGGAAAGCCCAATTATGGATGACATATTATTACTTTCACCATCAGTAAGTAACAGCGGTGAGTCTGATGGTGGTTGTTGTCTCCGCTGACAGTGGTGAGTTTGATGGCGGTTACTCTTTGTCAACGTCTTTGACAATACGTTTGAACACATTCTCGTGCAAGTCCCTGTCAATTCACCGTCATTAAAATCAGCAGCAACGATTGTGTTTGGAGATATCCGTGCCAGTTTCTATTATATCCCTTTTCTTGTGACTCACGTATATTCCGAATTTTCACTTGCTTTCAGTCACCGTCTATGCATCAAGCATTGTCGTCTGGTAGAAAATACGCCACAAGAACGACAAGGCACTCCGACACACGAACGCCAATTCACTTGTCGAATCAAGTCTTGATAGGCCAAACTTTGCTTCATAGGTTCCCATTCTTCCATATCCAAAAGTCGTTTAAATTCGGGATCCTCCATCCACTTTTATTTTGAAGCGTCGACTGTAGTCCAGGAAAATACCCGCATTATCATTCAGCTGCGATTCAGAGATATGTAAGTCAAGAGAAAAAAGAGAGAAGAAAAGAAGATGTGTTGCATGCATACTTCTTGCGACATGGTCTTGTTGGCGTCGCCTTGATTTGTTACATCAAGAACCTTGACTGATACTTTCACAGCTTTTCTGCGACTAACAACTTTTTGACTGAAACCATTCAGCCGTATAAAGCTTGCCAAACTTGCCAGTTCTGATTTTCCACAAAGGGTTTCAAGACGTACGTTGAAGACTAGGTAGTAATATGTTGCTCCGTCCTTCGCATGATAGTCTTGTCAATTCCACTGGTCCAGCCTTCGCGCATTCATAGCACGCCAGAAGCGCGTCCTATTAGAAATAAACCAAGGTATATATATCCACTTCTTCTATCTATCGTGATACAATATCTATTCTCACATTCACCCTATCGACATACTTCTCTAATCCAACGCAACGGTGCTTGTCAGCATTATATGACAAAGTGGGGGAGAGAGTTCTTGTGGCATACTGGAGGTGGGAAGGGAATATTTGACGCGTGTGACGGGTTACATAGTATGCAAGCGTGGTGAAACGATTGAATTTCTTTCACACGGTCAACACTCTTGTTTTAATAATAAATGATACGAACGGAATTCTTGAAAAAAAAGTTATGTGGAAAGTTTATGAGAGAGAAGCTGTCATGTTCACAACGGGAATTCCTTCATATACATAATAGGACTATCGAACGGAAAGACACATTAGAACGCGTCAACACATTGTGTTTCTCATGACAGTAATGAACGTTGGAATAGGAATCATAGGAGAAAAGTTATGAATCATTTATATATCATGTTCACAACGAGATTCTTTCATACAAATATAGGCTTATTGAAACGAAAAGCCAATTTAGTGATCAATAATGTGTTTATTAGACATTAATTAAATAGTCATAGAAATAGAAGTTTGTATTGGTGTCGATTGGTCAGTATTACTGTTCAGTTATAATAGTAAGTTAGTGACATACATTATTCTTTCACTGTCAAATACTTCTTCATTCAAGACTGCTAGAGTATTTTTGGCGCGACAAGATACGGTTAAGACGAAAACTATATATTATAATACTGTACTATCCGATAACGTAAATCGAGACTGGAAAGATTATGCTGTAAATAAACAGATATTATCAGTACTGGCTAATTGATAACATTAATCAATATTAAGGAAAAAACTCGACTCACCACCAAACTATGGCCATGAGCCAATCTGGTCTGCCATTGTCTTTCTGGAGAAGCTGCTATGGCTGTATCTTGTATGTTACCGAAGTAAAATCAATAATCTGTTTCTGGATCCGTGGTATATAACAATGTCGGTCGTAGAGTTGAAAGCCATGACCACTTTCATTTGCTCTTCTGTAATCTCCTTTCTGCCTGGACTGGCTGCAGCGATGGGTCGATTGAATTCAATTCGGTAAACGGTTGGTATCCTTTGGAAATGTAATTCCCTAAACTGGTCAAATCAGATGACACCTTGCCTATAATAAAATCGGCGCCATCATCGGACGGTCAAAACCCAGCCATTTCCGTTTTCAGTTGCCTTATCCTTGATGCCAAAGCGTACTTTATATTCTGGCCATTTAGTTATGTCTCCTGAATATGGATCGGCTATTCCAGTAGCTGTCAGATTTGGCAGTATTATCAACTGCAGTCCAAATGCTTCCTGGAAATGTTACGTCTTGCGGTAGTTCCTCCGTGTCAAATTATCTGTTATGACATCTCTAAAGGTGAACGTCTGCTGCTCCTCTGCACTGAAATAATTCTGAACCCAGAATCGGTCAGTAACGCGATATCGATCAAACTGCCGGGTGAGAGCCGTCTAGACAAAGCTCCCTAACATTGGCGCCCTCAAGGTGCAGACTGATTGGAGTCTGGCTGCAATTTCAGCATTTGAGGTGACCTCAGCAAACGATTTTTTATGTGTAAGATTGAAACCTGCGCGGGAGAGGGATACCTGTCATCAATAATATCACCAAGAATGAATAGTTGAATAGGATAACAAGTAATGCAATTACTGTGAAATTTATATAACTAACTTATGTTACCGAAAACTAACATTAACGTTAATAGACCTAAAAGTCTAAAATTGTTTAAAAAATCAATGCGCGTAATAAATTTATATTTATTCAAAAGCGCAAAAAACTTTAACCAAATATCTTGCTTTTTGTTGAAAACAAAAGTCTTTATTTGTCTGCGCCTTTAATATTAATGAAGGAAATGAAATGGTGTTGTTGTTATTATCAAAGCCTGCCTAACTTCTCATGCACAGCTTAAATGTGTAGAGTGTTTCTGTAATAG